GACTTTATATTAACCATGAGAAGTACAAATACTCTCATAATAATCATCATCAAATGGCTTTTTATCTTTTATATTCATGAACAAGTAACAAAATCTACAACTCAAAAATACAATTGTCCAAAAACCTTCATTTCAGGTTTGCAGTTTTATCAGAAAACGGAGCAGGTCATGGTTTTGCTTGAGGTGTTGTCCCTCTGTTTTTGGTCAAAATAACTGTAGTGAACTGCGTGCGGTCTGGCTCAAGTGCTTCGGCTTGTGTTCTTTCTAGTTTTCACTTGAAACTACCTTTACGGTTCCATGAAATGCATTCATCATTCTTATTGATTCAAAGTGTGACTCTAATAAGTTTATCTTGAGTTGCCAATTGTCTGAAATGAGGACGCCAATGAAGAATACATTATGTAGTTTTGACATTTCATGGGCCGATTTTAACCCCCTGCCTCCCCTAGATCTTCTCATTAACTCATTCTGCATCTGTCTTTTCCTGCCCCCTCTGCTTCTTTCCTGCCTCTCCCGTCCCTCACTCCCTTTTCTCTTGTGCTGCGTGGTTCAGAGCCCCCTCTTGCTGCGAGGGAGAGGCGGGGTGGTGGGGGGAGAGGCGCTGCCCGAGAGAATGGCCGTCTCTCTCTCCACGGTGCTCCTCTCACCTCCCAGCGCTACCCTGGTGAGTAGTGGCGTGTGACTGTGCGCTTGTGTTGTCAGCAGCTGCAATGGGGTACTCTCTCAAAGTTATCCATATACTTGACTCAAGAACTTTGTGGTATCAGTCCCAATCAAATATGTTGTTACATTTGAAGTACACAACATTTTTTTATGGACAGTCTCCAGATTTTACTATATTCACTCAGTCCAGGCTCATGATGTTGTATTGGTGGGTAAGACCACTTCCGTTGCCCACTCCAGTCACAGCCCTAGTTTTCATAATTGCTTGTAAGTTTATATCCGAACAACTGATTGAATACCTTTGCACATAGACTTAATTTTATTTTAGTAATTTGACATAAACTGTATTTGTGTTGTTTAGTAAGGTTTTATTTTTATTTTCGCAGCTGGAGCATACTATTCAGCGCAGCCACAGTACGCCCCATCTGTCCAGTCGCCAATCATCGTCAACCCAGCTCAGCAACAGCAACAAGCTCCACCACCTCAACAAGCCCCGCCCCCTTCACAAGGCCCAGTAAAGAGGGAGCGCAAACCGGTAGTGTGTCTCAACAATAGGCACTCACTGCTCTTTTCTAAGGTCAAAAAAGAGAATGAGCTAAATGAATATTGGCTGTTGAATGCAGAACATTCCTTTTTACGTTCATCTAACAATAGTTTTTTATTATCATGGCTTGGTGCTACATGACCTGGGAGCAAATGGACACATACACTTCGTTTTGATGTTAGGTATGTTAAAGAACAAAATCCTTCTTGTTTTATGTTGAAGATAAGAATACGAGACCCCAACCAAGGAGGACGTGACATTACAGAGGAGATCATGGCAGGTGGGCGTTCCTCCTCCACACCAACTCCTCCACAGGTAAAGATGAAGTCTTTTACATGTTCATTGACCGTTATATGCGAAATGAGATTTTAATCAGCAAATAATGGTTTAAGGTTTACTACATTCTTGGTCAGATAATAGAATCAAATACTGGTAATTTACACATTTATACCACACGATTAATGGTGAATGTTTTAGTCTCTGATCTGTGAGAATCTATTTACTCTCGAGGGGTTGGGGTGAGCAGTTATTCAGAGATGCTGAACCAGTGATGAAATACGCTCAGAATTGTTGTGCACCCCATTAATTTTTGCAGTTATTTCCCTGATTTTATTTAATTTTTTTTATTTTTATTTTGCTTTAGCCTGCCATGGCAGATAATCCCGCTCAAACTAATGGAGAAGTGATGCCACCTCAAAGAGGTGAATATGGTTTTATTTTCTAGTTTTAGGTTTAAGTACTTGTTTTAAAAAAATAAATAAATGTTTTTAACTGCAGATGAAAATGCTGAAGGTCCTCCATGTGCTGACTCCTCACCGCCTCCTGCTACCACAAATGTTGAGGTTCTTGAAGAGCCAAAGCAGGAAATGGACTTAGTTTCACAATCTGTAGACCTTACGCCAGCTCCAGATGTGCCATTATCAATAAAGGATCAGCAGCCATCTCCTTCACCCACCCCAGAGGTGGAGACCTCTACTTCTGAAGAGGCACAGGAAGTTCAAACTGACATTAGTGATACAGTAGATGCACCGGTGGGTCCCTCTGCATCATTAGCTGCACAAGATATGTCTGTCAAAAATGAAGAACCACAAATTACTCCTATTGAAAAGGCACCAGAAAATGAACAAAAGACAGAAGTGGTTAAACCTGATGAGCCAGTGGTTGAAACTTCACTGGGACCCTCAGTTGAAGAGGCAACCCTTATAAAAGCAGCAAGTGATGAGACTGTAAGTCTACAAACTACATCTGTTACTGAAGTCCCCGAGCCCTCCGCCTCCACACTGGAATCTGCAGCTTTACAGGCTCAGAATGGAGATGCCAGTTCAGATGGAGAGGTTAGACCCACATTTGAAAAGGCGGAGACTCCTCTTCCCAACGGCTTTCCACAAGAGGTTGAGACGTCCGAGGAACTGGCAATGCCCGACACTAAACCACTTGACCAGTCTGAAATAGGTCAATCTCAGGAACCTTCCTTAGTGGAAAAAATGGCAGTGCCCACCCAGGAGCAGGAAGAGGATGAAAAAGAGGTGAAGAATGAGAAAAACGAGTCTGCTGCACCTCCCCCTGTTACCTCTGCAACAGAGGAGTCCACTATGCAAGGTTGTAGTGTTTTCCTTTAATGAAGAATGTGAATTGTTTCATAGCTAATCTGTTTTTAATGTGGTACAGATGTAGCAGCTATAAAAACAAAGAAAAAGAAGAGCATGAAAGAGCTTGACAAGAAGGACTTTGGGACTATTCTAGATGCCTTTACAGAGGTGTGTGGCTTTGTGATGAATTGACAGACATAAAAATTGTGGTGTGAAACAAGGACAAATTGGTCACCATTTAAAAATCTTTTCTTTCCATCCAGCAGAAGGATACCAAACCCCTTCCTGAGCCTGTGGTTGTTCAGGCTGAAACTGCCCCAGCTGTGCCAGTTGAAACTCCAGCTGAGGTTGTAGAAGAGACTTGGGAGGAGAAAGAAGACAAACAGAATGAAATTAAACGCAAAGCTGAGGCCACAGAGCAGAAATATCAATACAAAGAAGGTAAATTCCAAATTGTATTTCTCAGAATCCTTTTATTTGTTTTGACTAAACGTCTATTTTCTTTCAGAACAATGGAAACCCATTAATCCAGAAGCAAAGAAGCGGTACGATAGGGAGTTTTTGCTGGGATTCCAGTTCAGCAGTGCCAGTATGCACAAACCAGAAGGCCTGCCACTCATCAGTGATGTTGTTCTTGATAAGGTATGTTACTATAATCATATTACATTAGTGTTTTTCATCCCTGATTAAGTTGTGAATGGACATAGATCACTTAGCAGTTGTAGACTGTTAATGGCCTCTGAACTGTATCCTGCTTCAGTGATGACTTCTGTTTTGTGCCACGTGTCTGGGCCACTGAATATCTATGATGGGTTTGAGGATCTGAAGAAGCAGTTTGTGTACTGAACTACTTCTGTCTATTTGGTTGTCATAAATCTGAAAGTTTTTTTTTTTTGGTCCATCTTTAGGTGAATAAGACTCCACTGCGTCCTGCGGACCCGGGTCGACTAGTGAATGTTGGTACTGATTTCACTCCCTCATATTTGGGTAACTTAGGAAGCAGATCAGTGGGAGGACCACGAGGCCCGGTAATAATTGAAAATTCTTTAAGTAAAAATATGTAATATGGTGAGTTAATTTTTTTTTTTTTTTTTAAATAGCCTCCAGGACCTCGGCGTTCTCAGCAAGGTCAGCGAAAGGAACCTAGGAAAATCATTAGTAGCATGAATGAGGACATTCAGCTGAACAAGGCTGAAAAAGCTTGGAAACCATCTTTGAAAAAGTCCATGTCACGTGGCCGTGGAGACGAGGCTGAAGAGGAGGATGCTGAACAAATCAAGACTCAAGAGGTGTTGAAAAGACTGCGTAGTATCCTCAACAAACTGACCCCTCAGAAGTTTCAAGAGCTGACGAAGCAAGTGCAAGAACTGCCGATAGACACTGAGGAGAGACTGAAAGGAGCCATTGATCTCATCTTTGAAAAAGCCATCATGGAGCCCAACTTTTCTGTAGCTTATGCCAACATGTGTCGTTGCCTCATGGGGGTAAGTCGCTTTGAACTGTTTTCTTGAAGAATGACATGACCTAAGTAGCCTTTGCACAATTTATTGTACATGTAACTTATATTTTACAAATTTATTGACTTATGGTCAATGATATGCTTAAGTGATAGCTATGATGTGTCAAATCATATGTCGGCTTTTTACTCAATACCATCTTGGGCCATGTCCATCACCTTAAATTATGTATTTTTATTCACTACAGTTAAAAGTCCCTACTGCAGAAAAGCCAGGAGCTACCGCAAACTTTCGCAAACTTCTGCTAAATCGCTGTCAAAAGGAATTTGAAAAGGATCAAGATGATGATGAAATATTTGAGAAAAAACAGAAAGAATTGGATGCTGCAAAAGAAGTAAGTGGTTCAATAATTGTAAAATGTATTCAATGAAACATGGAAGGTTCTAATAACAATTGCCTGCATTTCTCAGGGTGAAGAACGTGATCGTTTGAAAGCGGAGCTAGAGGAAGCCAGAGATAAGGCCCGACGGCGATCACTGGGAAACATCAAGTTCATTGGCGAGCTTTTCAAACTGAAAATGTTGACAGAAGCCATTATGCACGACTGTGTTGTAAAACTATTGAAGAATCACGATGAAGAATCTCTTGAGTGTCTATGCAGGTTGTTGTCTACAATCGGCAAAGACCTGGACTTTGAAAAGGCAAAGGTACATGTGAACATAAATACCTTTTTAACATATAAACAACCTCTGTTGGAATGACCATTAATTTTGCATCACCTGTCTGGGCCAATGAATCTCGGTGATCTTGGTATTTAGAAACTAAAGAGAACATATTTACATCTTTAACCTTGAACTTTGAAATTTAAACTTGCATTTCATTAAAGTTATTTTTTCTAGCCCCGCATGGACCAGTATTTTAACCAAATGGACAAAATCATAAAGGAGAGAAAGACCTCGTCAAGAATTCGTTTCATGCTGCAAGATGTCTTGGACCTCAGAAGGGTATTGATTGTTTGATTTGAGATGTAGTAGATCACATTTCTCATTGGCAACTTTAAAAGTGGGGCGACAGTAGCTCAGATGGTAGAGCATTTGTCCACTGATCCAAAGATTGGCGGCTCGAATCCCGCTCTCAACATAAACCTCATTGGTTGAGCTGGTGTGCCTGGTGTGATTCCAGCTCATGTAGATGAATGCTGCCGTTATGTCCTTGGGCAAGACACTTGACTCATTTTGCCCCTAATGTCTGCTTACACTGGTGTATGAATGTGTGCGTATGAATGGTTGAGTGGTTCCTTGTTGTAAAGTGCTTTGAGAGCCTTGAAGGTGGAAAAGTGCTATATTAAAATGTGACCATTTTCCACTGTAGAGCAACTGGGTGCCTAGAAGAGCAGACCAGGGACCTAAAACAATTGACCAGATCCACAAGGAGGCAGAGCTGGAGGAGCACAGGGAGCAGATAAAGGTCCAGCAGCAGCTTCTATCCAAGAAGGAGGGCGGAGGCAGAATGAGCATGGGTGGCCGAGGTCCTCACACTCCCGGGGGAGGCAGGACCAGCCAAACCCAGGATGAAGGATGGAACACTGTCCCCATTTCCAAGAACAGACCTATTGACACCACCCGTCTGAGCAAAATCACGAAGGTAACATGAAGCCTGTCATCTACACTTGCATATGATTTGGTTATACATTGTTTTTTTTTGTTTTTCTCATATATGCACATATCTTGTTTTTTTTGTAGCCTGGTGCGATGGACTTTAACAATCAGTTGTTGGCTCCAGGTGGTAAAGGGATGTGGGGTAGCTGGGGAAAAGGTTGCAGTGGAGGAAGTGGAACTAAACCATCCAGTGGAGAACAGGGTAAAATATAAAACAAAGATTGCGAGTTTGAGAAAGCCACATTACTTTTATTAATCATGTCTTCACTTATGTTTAGATTCAAGTCGTCCTGCCACTAGCACACTGAACCGTTTCTCAGCCCTGCAGTCCGGGTCTTCATCAGAGTCTGATCGCCGAGTTCCTCAGAGGTATTCACATTGACTATTATTGTTATTGTGTTACTGTGTCTCCTCATTGCTTTCAGTAGCTAGTTTGAGCCAAACACATTTGCTTACCATTAATTAATATTTGAATTTAAATTTTTTTTAGGTCAAGCTCCAGTCGGGAACGAGGGGTTGGTGACAGAGATCGTTTTGACCGCTTTGATCGGAGGGAAGGAGGTGATGGTGACAGGAGCAACCGCCCTGAAATCACAAAGAGAAGCTTCAGTCGAGAATCCCAGGAGCGCAGCCGAGGAGGAGAGGGACGCAGTGCTGTGGATTCTGTTCGTCGTGTGGCCAGCATGACAGACGATCGAGACAGGGGCAGCCGCGACAGGGGCAGCCGCGACAGGGGCAGCCGCGACAGGGGCAGCCGCGACAGGGGCAGCCGCGACAGGAGTAGCCGCGACCGAGGCAGCCGCGACCAAGGGAGCCGTGACAGGGGCAGCAAAGATCGTGCTTCAAGTAAAGACATACATTCAGGTTAGCATTTTTGTATTTATTTTGACTTGGAAAATATTTTTGTGGGAGGCTGTCTAATCAGAGTAGCCTAATTCTGGATTTTAATTGTCATATTAGTTAAGCGTGAAAGTGCCCCAACGCCACCTCCATCTAAACCTGCTTTGTCTGAAGAAGAGTTAGAGAAGAAGTCAAATGCCATAATTGAAGAATACCTCCATATTAATGACTTGAAGGTAAATGAGGAGCTTAAAAAAACTTTCAATAATTGTACTCAAATAAATAATGAAATAAACTCACACCATTGTGTTTTTTCCCCCCTCTGTCTTGCAGGAAGCATTACAGTGCGTTGCGGAGCTGAACAGTGCCTCCCTGCTTTTTGTCTTTGTACGGGTCGGTTTGGAATCGACACTTGAACGCAGCACCATTGCCCGGGAGCACATGGGACTGCTGCTGCATCAGCTGATCAAGGCCGGGAATCTGCCTCCGCAGCAATACTACAAAGGGTGAGCTTTGGGCTCCTTTGGGGGACACTTTCCTAGAATTGTATGTAATTTAATAATTTTTAAAATGACGAAACTATGATGCTGTAGGCTGCATGAGATCTTAGAAGTGGCAGAGGATATGGAAATAGATATACCTCACATCTGGCTTTACCTGGCTGAGCTCATCACCCCTATGTTACACGAAGGTGGGCTCTCTATGGGACAGCTCTTCAGGTAAGTACAATTTTGTCTTTTATCAGCTCATCACCAATTTGTCACATGTAAAATGAGTATACTTTTTCATTTGATTTTAGGGAGATTTCAAAGCCTCTAGTGCCTCTTGGGAAGGCAGGTGTGCTCCTGGTACAAATCTTAAACATGCTTTGTAAAGGAATGGTAGGTGACACCAGTTTTATATACAGTTCTGTAATTCCATTGGTAAACTATGACAGGGAATTATTTTTAAAATTTTAGACCCCCAAGAAAGTTGGGGCTATGTGGACCGAAGCTGGGTTGAACTGGAAGGACTTTCTGCCCAGTGATGAAGATGTTAACAAATTTGTAACAGATCAGGTTTGTAGTATTACAGGTTTGTTAAACTAAATTATAAATTATAGAATTGTTTAAAATTTTTTGATGTATTTTAGAAACTGGAGTATACCTTAGGAGAAGAGGTGGCATCAAAAGACAGCAATAAAAAAGTTTTCACTGGAGAGGAGCTTAGCAAACAACTGGAAAGACTCCTTCAGGACAAAGCTGACAACCAGCGCATCCGTGACTGGATTGAGGTGTGTAATTGGACTCATTCTGGTGTTTTTATGGACCAAAACTTCAATATTCAAGTTTTTTTTTTTTTTTTTTTTTTTTTTTTTTTAAACAGGCCAATTTGGACGAACAGCAGACCGCATCAAACCTGTTCATTCGTGCATTGATGACATCAGTCTGTCAGTCTGCCATCATCTGTAAGCAGTAATCACAAGTGGAATGATTTTTAATTTTTGCATGAGTTTAATGTGGGTATTCTCTTTTCATAGGTGATAACCCGTACAAAGTGGACGCAGAGCAGATTGGTCAAAGAGCCAGCTTGTTGCAGAGATATCTTTATGATGAACAGAAAGAGCTGCAGGCCCTTTATGCCCTTCAAGCACTAATGGTACACATGGAACAGCCTGCAAGTAAGTAGGAATAAACATCTATAAGAAACAAATATCGAAAACTATTTGATTTAGTGTTTACCAAATTGTTTTAGTTAAAACACTGTACCTGATGTTAGAGTTTTAAAAACAGAAATAGTTCATTTCAAGCGGTTTGAATTCCTAACTTCTTGGTTAACAGCAGCAGCACACCGTTGTTTCATCCTGGTTTGTTACTGATGAAAACACATAACTAACTCATAACTAGAAAAGCACTCAGAGAGCGCAGACCTCCGCCAAGGACTACCCCCATTTTTTATATAAATTGCGATAAACTCAGTCTTCTGGATCAGATCCGGATCAGCCTTTGGAATAAGAGGATCCCATTGTCCATCCCTGAGTCAAATTTCATGGGGTTTGGTCAATAATTAACGGAGATATTGAGAAACAAAATTTTTGGCCCCATTTACCACAATGTTAACTAAAATTTCAAAGTGATCCAGAATCCAGAATTTCTTCCGGATCACCCCCAAAATGAAATCAGTTCTTCCTTTTCAGATTTCCAACAAATCCTGAAAATTTCATCAAAATCGGTCCATAACTTTTTGAGTTATGTTGCAAACAGACAAACAAATGCCGGCAAAAACATAACCTCCTTGGTGGAGGTAATTAGACAGCACACAGCAGTTTCAAGACCTGCTTTGACAATATTAATATTTACTATATAATATTTACCTGTATTAGGACAAAACATTTTACATGAAAAAAAATTGTGTACAGCCCATAGGCTATTTATAAATGGACATAGCTAATGCACTAGACCAGACATGTCAAACTTGGGCCCGGTGGCCAAATTTGGCCCGCATTATAATTATATTTGGCCCACGAGATCATATCAAATATGTATTAGAGCTGGACCGCCGCCTACAGATAGGCTATAGAGACATTATTTCAAATTTAATTTTTATTTTATATTATGCTTGTTCTGCATTCAATGTTTAAGCAAAACTATTATTAAACATTTATGTTAATAAGAAAAGGTTTAACATTACATATCTCGAAAGAAGAGAAAACATGCAGATGTTAATATTTTACAATAAGTATTTGGTTTGGCTCACAACTTAGTTCCAGTTTTAAATTTTGGCCCTCTGTAAATCTCAGTTTGACATCCCTGCACTAGACGCTTCATTCCAAATAGGAAGTGAGCATACGGGGTCTTGTGGCTCTTACTGACCCTGGCTCCCATTGATTTACATTACAATATTGTGGCCCCTAGGAAATCCTATTCATAATATAGAGCCTGTCTCCAAAGTCGCTCCTGTAACAGTTAGCATCACAAGCTTCATTTGAGTGGTGCTGAATGCTATGGGTGATATCATACTCGCTTAGTCCCCCCTTTTTTTTAATACAGTCTATGGTACAGCCCCTTAAAGTTTGTTTTTCATTTACATATGAATTCAATGTTGAACTTCTTCTCTAGACCTGCTACGCATGTTCTTCGATGCCTTGTATGATGAGGATGTGATTAAAGAGGAGGCCTTTTACAAATGGGAGTCCAGTAAAGACCCAGCAGAGCAGACGGGCAAAGGTGTGGCCTTGAAGTCTGTCACAGCATTCTTCACCTGGCTCCGTGAGGCAGAAGAGGAGTCGGACAAAGACTAAAGACTATAAAGCCGCTGCTGTTTTGGCCTTGTCCCAGCAGGTGGTTGTGAGGAGACATGATGCTTTGTCAGAAGAAGACTCGTATTACTATCAGTCCTCAATGAGGATACATGTGTGTTCCCCTTTTCTTCTTTGAGGGATGGACTCAAACTATCACTTCTCTCCTCTCTGATCCCTCATTATGTCCCACCTGCTTGTTGCAGCAAGTGTCCTCATCTAATAAACTTGAAAACTGTTGCAGCAGGAATGCTTTGTAACTAGGTTTGAATTATGCCACATCACTACTAGACTTTTTTTTTTTTTTAATCAACAACACACAGGCGAGCTGCTGTTTTTATGGTTCTAGATAATTCTCATCCCTACCATTGTGTGTAAAACAGGCATGGGGAGTTCGGGGTGTGGGGATCATGCCATAATGTGTTCAGTCCAAACACAGCTCTTTTTTTTTTTTTTGTCCATCATTTAGTGTGCAGCATGACTGAAGTGTGTTTATAATAATGATACAGATGAAATGTCGACAGGAAAATGTACATTGCTAACTAATCTTAAATTGACAGATGGAGTTTTTAAGCAAACAGTTCTATTTTTTTCCTCTTGTTTCCTATTGATGGACCTCACAGAGGACACTATGACAGTATGACTTTGACGCGAGTACTACAGGATGGTCTTAATGCTTCCTCAAAGCCATGGTCTCCCAGTAGTGACTGACCTGTCTTTTCCTTTTCTGAATCGAAACTGTGGGAGAGACACTTACCCAATCATTAAAACTTGAAACATACAGAAATTGACTTGATGAGATATATACATTAAAAACAGAAATGATCTGATAGCCTTTTCTACTAGAGGTAGAAACTATTTCAGGACACTTCTGTAAATATATAAAGATTTTTTTAGTTTTATTTTTCAGAAACAATAAATTGCCGATGTAATTGCAGTGTATCCTTTTCCGCAGAAAGCATTGTTGTCCAGATGCAGAGAGGTGCTTTAGATAATCCATTGATTATTAGTTTTATTGGGATTTTTTTTGTAAATACTTTTTTTGCTTTCTTTATTTAAGAAAATAATGCTTCTTTGCATCTGAAACTGGAACGATGAGTTAATGGGACATTGCAAATAAAGGACTTCTTAAAATGCATAGTATTTCACTAGTCGTTCTTTACGAAGACAAAAGTCTTAACTATATTTATGCTCCTATCCCCTGAAAGCGACAATTACAGCGAGCTCATTCAGCATTTATGTACCACTTTTATCCCCTACAATATCATCAGTGTCACTTTGAGATAACTAAGGGGGGTAAAGGGCTCCTATTTTCTAAAACCTTTTGTGTTTTAATGGCCAGTAGATTTTCTTCTTGATGAGCCATGTCGTTTTTGCTGAAATTCTACTTGTTTTATTCTCCATTGAAATGCTTGCCTCTCAGCGCTCTGCGGTGCTTTGAGGGAGTCCTCTGTTTGGCTGTGGGAGGGGACACCGCCTTGCGTTGATGACGCTTGCAATTGGGAGACATTTGGACAGCCTATGTAACCCATATATCCTAGCAGCTACAAATGGTGCGTCTGCGCCTCTGACCACATGCAGGAGTTGGAGACGCTCTCGCCGTGATGCTGTGGCTGTAATGCGGTGTGCTACAGGCTTCTGCTGAAAGGATCGGATATATTAAGCGCTTTATGATGAGCCGCTTGGTCCGACTTTCAGGTACGTACCGCAGATGCCTCATAATCGCAGTGTCGGGTTAAGGGCACGCGCCACTGTTTGGCCCTGTTGATGTGCAGATAGATCACGAGCTGCCGGAGATCTCCGCATCAGGTCTCCGCGCTGCCATGATTATTCGTGTGTGTTATTGTGGCCTGCTGCAAGCACCAATGATGCGGCGACGTGTTGCTCAAACAACCGCCACAATATCCACTCAATTCTAAAGCCCACGCAGCACTGCGGCCTGTCTCTCTACACTCGTGGCGTGTGCCAGCGGCTGTGGTCAGGCTACTTGTTGGTCTTGCGCGTATAGGCTCATAGTCCGGGGATATCAATTACACGATGCGTCCGCTTGACCCAGAGACTTGACAGGTCACTTAAGACATATGACGTATGCCTAATTAAGGTCAAAAGGCAAGACGTGGTGCAGAGTCAATTAAAATTCAAGTCTACCAGCCATCGGGTTAAAGTTAATGATGCTCAATTTTTACAAATCCGAATAACTCATCTTGACAACTGAATTATGACTATTTGAGACTCACTATCCCGTTGGGAGCCGTGCGCAGACTCGTGCCAAACACTTTTGCGCTGCGCGCTCTAGTGTGTTTTGGAGCTAAAGCGTCCTCGGAGGAGCGCGCCATGTCATTCTGTCAGGTGAACCTGTCTGTAGGCCTACGCTATCATCAGCTCACAGGTCGCACCAGAGAATCACTGTCATTTCTGACTCCTCTAAGCCTTTTAGTGCAGGAGTCCCCTTTTTGTTAACAGCTTTGGGCCAATCTGTTAGGGATTATTTGTCAAATCATGCACGTGCACTCTTGGATAATCACATTTTCAGATTTTTTTATTTAAAAGCTAAGATCAATCATACTCACTTTGCGTCATGTCAGCTGCGGCTTCAGATCCGCTTTGACTAGACTAACTTTTGGACATGTTCCTGATTAGGTGGCGCTATCACTTTTAATCTGGTTTGCGGAGGATTTTCAGGGGCAGCAGGCTTGGTTGGATTTGCGTTGTGCCGAGCTGGTCACGGGCCATATGTTTGCCCATTCACATGTACACCGTCACCGCTGCCCTCACCTCCCTCAACCCCTGTCACTCCAACCGGCTTTAGCATCTGTGCAGTAAATTAGGACATCGCTGTTTGCTTGTCTGCCGCTCGGGTTAAACCACTCAGCGCAAGCTCCAGTCTGTAGTCGCGGTGCTCTGCAGCGTTCGTGTAACATCTATGCACTTCAACTATGAGACTCAGGTCCAGGAGTCGAGAAAGACGGGAGAGACAGAGGGAGGAGGTAGGACGGAGATAACATACTTATGTGCATATTTCACTGCTGTTTAGTTGAGTCCAGACGGTTATATCAGCCTATTCACGAGATAAAAAGTCGTTATTTTTTATGTCACTTGTTTTTAGGTGAAATTTGAGGAGCGTGAAATGATTCCCAAGTCCGGAAAATCTTCAGCAGACTCAAGAAAAGGCGTGAGCATCCATGAGTTTGCAGCACTGGCCAGATCCTCCTTGAATGGTATTGTATTTTAGTTGTTTAGTTTTTAGAGGCTGCACTTGCAACTTAATTTGCTTTTTGAATAATTGGTGCTAATTTTTATTTTATTTTACAAAGAATAATCATCAAATTGGACAAAGATGCACAAAAACATAACAAATGGATTATGATGATGATTATTATTATTAGATTAATTGAATTCTAATCTTAAGTGTCTGTATAATTCCTGCTCTCGTCTACCTCTCCTCTCCTCTGCAGGCATCTCTCAGGCTGTGAAGGACCATGTGACTAAGCCTACCTCACTCGCCCAGGGTCGAGTTGCTCACCTCATCGAGTGGAAAGGTTGGCCCAAACCATCGGACCCCCCACCGGCCGCTCACGCACACTTCAGCACCTACTGCCACCTGAGCGAGGGAGAGAAGGAGGCCCGCTTCGCTGCAGGTGTGTCTTCTGTCATCTCAACATTTCACACTTAACTGTCAGTTTGTTTATTTGCTCAGACACCAATCCTCTTACTTAGTTCTTGACTCATCTTCTGTCATGGTGTGATCCTTAGAACTACTCAGAGTCAGAGCTTTTTGGGCCCATCGCTGTGCTGTCTTAGCGGTGATGGCTTGCCTTGGTCGCAGATGGTGGCCTATTAGACAGACTCAAAAACACTTGACTGCCCAGTGAGGGTAAGGCAGCTCCTGTTGTTCAGCTGTGACTCATCCTTTGTGGAGGTGGTGACATGGGTTGGGTCTGAGCAGGACAGAAAGAAAGAAAAGAAGGGGGGGGGGGGTAATTCCAAGAGATCAGAACTTGATAGATGAACAAAAGATGATGTTTTTCCAGCTGGTCTTTACTCACTAAAGCAGTTTGTTCCGCTGTTTGGAGGAATATATTTTTTCACCTTGACCATAATAATAGTTTGAAGTATGTAAGTTTCCGTTTCAGGCTTTCGTTTAAACCTATTCCTCCTGTTCATAACACCAATGCTTCAGTAGTTACAAATATATCAACAGGCTTTTGGTGCACAGTACAAAAAATAAGGATTATTCTACTTAAAGGCCCTATATTACACAAAATAGCTTACAGCTCACAATTCTTGTGAGCTGTAAGCCATATTATGATGCTGTTAAAAACATACCCAGAAATGTGTTTTGTTTCATTCACACATATTTGAGTAACCCTTTGTTATTATTCTGTCTATATTGTCAAAGCTCAAAATGCTCTGTTCCACCTTAGTATGTCTTGAAGTGGTAGTGTTTACCTTTAGTTCAGTAGCAATTCCAGGGCTGAAATATTCCAAATGATTCTAGTGACGCTGTATGGAGTTTAAAACCACAGTGGAGCACTTACTGTATTACCTTATGACATCACAATCTGCCTAAAAACTGAATATGCAAAGTTTGCATGTTAAACATATGTAAATGAAACAAAACACAACTCAAGTACTTTTTTTAAATGAGGAAACAACTTTACAACATAGATCAGAAAAATAAAAATAGCGTAATATGGGCCCTTCAATGCTCCTATACTTTTTACTATAATATACTATTTTGCTTTTTGCAGGTGTAGCTGAACAGTTTGCCATAGCTGAGGCCAAGCTGCGAGCCTGGGCTTCTGTTGATGACGATGATGAAGATGAGGAAGACTCAAACGATGAGGATGCGCCCTCTAATGGACAGAGTCACACCTTCACCAGCCAAAGTTCAGGTATTACAAGTCACCTGCCATCACCTTCGTCTGTGCCTTCATCTCATTTTCATCACTGACGTAACACTGCTCATTGTCCATCTGCCCCACCGTTGCATCTGCAGGGGATCTGACTTTATGCTCCTCTCTCAGACGCCACCAATGCCTGTCCTCTTGTCCCACATGACACGGAGGAGGGCCAGCTCTCTACCACATACCCAGGAGCGGGTGGTAGCGACGATGGCAGCCTGCTGTATGCCCGGTCTGCCTCTCACACTGACTCACCCACTTTGCCCGGCCACAGCCTGAGCCCATTCATACAGGAGGAAGAGGAGGAGAATGAGGAACAGCCCACTGTGTTACGAGACCACCCCCAGAGCGAGGTGTGTGTCCACCAGAAGCCCGAGTGGAGACCTCGAGCTCGGAGCAGCCGTTTCGACTCCTGCTACTCCACGTCTCACTCGGAGTCGCCCGGAGAGGAGGAGGAGGATGATGAAGAAGGCAGCGTGTTCCAGGAGATTCGCATGTGGCACTGTGGATCTCCAATTGGGCGGCGATTCTTTTCTGATCGGGCATCCTCTGGAGTGGCCTCGTTTGATGAGGAAGAGGAGCAGGACGAAGAAGCAGAGGGGAAAGATGAGAAAGAATATTTGATGTGATGTGCTGTCTATCTTTGTCTCTTGGAGTGTGTTGATTCTGGACATAGTTATAAAAAGATAGATATCACATTTGGCCAAATTGGATCGGTCATCAGGGAAAGGTAGAGCATTCTTTTCTTTATTAAGACGTTTATGGATCAACATGATTTTAGGGACAGTGCCTTGGTGATTTGCCAAAATGTGTATGTGATGAATACATGAAATACATTGCAATGTTGTGAAACAGTAGAGATGAATCACTGGGTTTGTCTGTTGCTGGTAAGTCCGCTTTAGAAAAAATATCCTTACAGTCAATATTGTTCTAATGTAATGTGTGAAAACTGGTCAAATTGCATGTTGTTTCTTGTCAATGTAGTTTGACCTCCTTTACCGTAACCATTAATTAAAAAAATAAGACCTTATCATGGCAGACACATCTTGCCAAAAATAATGCAACGGCCAATGCAGTATCTGCCTTTTTATATCCCTTATTCTGAATATTACAATGTTACTGTTTCACCTCCATTCTTTCCTACCCTTGATCTTTGATTCCTTGCTCTCTTGTTTCCATGTCTCCTCCTTTCACTTCCTTCTCATCTGAGCCCCTCCCATCCTCACCTTGCTCCATGTCACTTGCTGCTGTGAACAGTATCCATTGGAGAGTTCAATTGAATGTAAAGTTGTTGTTTTCACTGAGTTTTGTACAGTTTTGTGAAGTCGTGTCTGATTGTTTTTTATGAGTATTTTGTAGTGTTGTTTTTTGATTCATGCTGTGTCATGTGGGGTGGGCTATGTTTGATACTGAATGTCTGAAAATGAATAGTAAATAAATATACATTTTGGTATTAAGATATGATTTGTGTAGTTTTTTTCTCCTCATAAAACAGACATTTTCTTGTTTAAATTTAATCATTCACTCATGTACAAAACAATTTATGTTCTCTGAAAAATAACAGTGGCTGCTTGATTTCAAATGCATAATTCTCCTGTACAAGCATGTAGTTATATTTGTATGTACAAAGCAGTTCAGTGCCATATAAAGGGTACTACAGACTTATTGCTTAACTAGATACGCTGTAAAATATCTCTCAATTCCTTTTACTTGTATGGCCAACCACTATTTTACATTCTCAATGCAAAAGACGCAAATAAAGAAATGCACAAATATACAGACAAAAAGCCCTGATTAGTGCAAATGAAAACATGATTTAAAATATTTGTACAATTGACAATTACATCCATTTGAAACCTGATGACATGTCTCTCACACACACCAACAGACGCACAGACCCCCACAGACTTGGACTGTGCTAATGAGAGGCCAGGCTGCTCATGTCATAAAGATGCATAACTGTAAATATATCTACAGGGTGCAAGTGTGCTCTGTACATTAGCCTATACTGTTCCTGTAACATGCTAGAAACATTTCACGCAGTTTAAGCGATCGAGGCAGTTTATTCCATTTTAATACTGGCTTCCGTAGTATTCAGTAGTGGTAATTACTGTGTGCTTTACCTTGAACCTTATGTCTTAAGAAGAGCTGCCTGTTTTTGTTGTTGAATTTCGGGGGTGGACATATGACGTACAAGAAAACAGAATATGTCCTAGTGCTGCAATCAAAGACAGTTATAATGCTATATTTAAACAAACAAAATAACAAAAATATCCCTTTTGCATATCAGGCTTGTAATAATCTATAAAAATGCCAGCCTTATTTGTAGGTAGTAAATATTTCAGATTTCTGTGCTCCGTAATAGAATATATTACTTTATTAATGTGCTTGTTTATTTATAACTATTCATTGCAATTAGATTCATTTGTATTCCTCTCCTGCAAAATATTACACTGTTTATTTGGCATAAGCGCAAATACGACACGGAGGAGTCCAGAACCATGGCACACCAGTTACTCACACGCATGCACACACACACACACACACACGCACACAGTCTCAAACATTTAGCAAATCTATCCTGTTTAAAATCATTTGTTATCATTTTATCAAGACTCTTTTTTTTTTTTAGGAGACTTCAAGGTTTTGTAAGATTATAATGGGGTAATGGCAGTGTTAACAAAAAAAACTCCCCAAACAACTATGTGTTACCAGCTTTGATAACAGGCCCTAAACAGTTCCTCTGGTATAAGATCAATTAGTTTAAAAAGTATTATTGGATGTGGTCTCTTATTTGTCATTCACACCTCAAGTTCTGCTATAAATACATACATATAGCCAGGCTGGACTTGTAATGTAACACTTGAGACAACACATGTATCCCTGCTAATCATTCATATTGGTCATTACTGTGGACCGGGGCTTCCCTCTTCCTCCGCTTCTGATTGGTCCAGGTTCTGACCTTGTTCCTGCTGGGTTTCATCTGGCTCTGGAGTCTGACTGGGCGGGTCATAGTCACAGGCCAGTTCTGACTCCTCCGTGTGGGAGGGGCTACAGTCAAACGTAAATTCTGATTGGTCTTCAGCGAATGAGGGGCTATCTTGGAGAACCAACTCTTCTCTAATGTCCACAGTTTGGCCTGTTGCAAATTGTAAAGTGCATTGGTCTGAAAAATTGATGGGAATCTCTTCAAATGGAGGGTTGTTATCATCCTCCATTTTGAGGCGATTAAGTTCCCGTGGTAACGAGAGGCCCCTGTGGCGGATGCACAGTTTGTGGAGTTCAGTTACTTCAGATACACTTGTGGTATTGCCACTGTCCCGGAAACTTGCCAAAGGGGGGCGAACTTTGACCCCCGTCACTGTCACTGAGCCCTCAATGGCTTTACGCAACTGCAACAAAAAGGAAAAATGTCGTCAAAACAAGGCTAATCAAGTAAGAACAAAAAATAGAATATAGAAATTGCCTCTTTAAGAGACACCACTCCGACCAGACGCCCCATACTAGTCACATAAGCATGGTCCAGGCCCAGCAGGGAAAAGATGGTGTGAGTCTGTGAACAAGGAATAAGTTTAAGTTAAACAAATTAAACAGTAAAAGTTGTATTTATATGTTCAATGCACCAGAGGTACGCTTTAACCCTCTCCAGGCAGGCGTTGCAGATTTGCAACAGCTAAATGCCAATTACCTACTTACTCCAAATCCATATTTTATGAGGTTTTTTTTACTCAGGAGCCTTTTCTCCCATCCATGCTGATAAACATGGACGATGCAGACTGTGCAAGAATGGCTACACACAAATGGCCTGCCAGAAGTGCAAAGTACTGTTGTTGTTTACAAAGGATAAAAATTGTTTCTTGGAATACCACACGAAAAAGTGATGTTGTTCTGCCACTGTAAAGCACTGTTACACTGTGCTTTATGTTTTCACTGTTATGAAAAGTGGTATACAAATAAAGTTAGCGTTCATATCATTTTCAGTCTTCAGTGTTAATTTACCACACCGGGCCAATGCTGCAAATCTCCAACATCCCAGAACGCATTGGATGTGAAGGTCTCTCTCAAAAAAAAGTCAGAATTGTGTATTACTACCCCATATGATAATTTTCCCCAAATATCAGATTTTTTCCTGTTACTAAAATTTTATTTGAGCCTGCGAGGGTTAACACAAAAAAGTATGTAATTTCTGAAATTAACACAATTATTACATTCTCTAATACTTCTAAAGTGAGACTGGTACCTTATGTAGCGAGGTTTGCTCAACCAGCTGGAAGGGAGCAGGGTCAATCTTGCAGTTCTTGAAATCTACAGCTTGGTCGAGCTGTTGCTCCTCCCACACTGAAATCTGAAGTCAAACAAGTGACAAGTCCTATTCAGCACATAATTACCAACAGCGTATTTCATAATGTCACTGAAGACCTAACCTCTGTTGGGCTCATGTGGTCTTCCACTTCAGAGTCCTGAAAAACAAACTTTCGTTTTGAAGGTAGTAGGGGAATACTGCTAAAACTCTAGAGCAAAGACAATGTGTTTCACATGAATAAAGACAGCTAGTGTTATTAAATACACATGTAAAAGTGTAGTGAGCAGAATCAGATGCTGACGTCCTGTTGTTCTCAGGTTAGAGACCATCAGACCTCTGCCACAGCACAAACATCAACGGGCCGCTCTCACGTTCTTTCACTCACTACAGAGCCATGTAATACTGTGGGTGCTGCACCACAAATGTTTTGGTTCTGCCCTCACTGTGTGCTTGTCGCAATGCAACGGTTACTAGGCAACAGTCTCTAGGCGGCAGACAGTCTTACCGCCATGGAGATCCTCATGCGTTTGGGCCTGGCCTTTCTGTGTTCAGGAGGAGCCGGCCCAGGGCTCTTCCACGGGCAGAGAGGAGGCATCAACACAACATGACCACAGCGTCAGTCAGAGTGGACATTTACCCACAACATGGCACACTGCAACATTGGATCTCAAACCCACTTCTCCAGAGGAGTACCACCAAGTGAGCACAATGTTGCTGATAGCCTATAATTACTTGAGCACAGAAGAAAATGAAGGCACCAGAGGCTTGATGTTACACAACACTATGAGGAAACAATGTGGGGAAATGAGGCATTATGAAGACCACAAAGCATTGAGGTCTCCATAAGTTGTACATCAACACTGTCCCTTAATGTGTTGAGGTACTCAAATAGTTTTACATAAATTTTTGGACAAGCATTAGCCCTACACACTGACATGATGACGACGGTAACTGAAGCGGAACATTTTCACATGCTTTTACCAGCACAGCTGTTCTCAGAGAGCATTATTAATGGCTGTAACTGCTGACTGTAACTGTATAATGTTATTAATTCACCCGTGTTTTCCTGCTGAGAAAAGTCAAATATCTGATGATCAGGGATTTTTAAAAATCTGCTCCACAACTGTGTAAATGCTAACATGTCTGGTGTAGTTGAGGTGTAATGAACAGCTTCAGTTTCAAATGCTGCAGCATGCTCCCTGACACACATGCTCTCTCACATGCGCTCCCTCACACGCATGCTCCCTCACACACACGCTCCCTCACACACCCGCTCACCGTGGCGATTACACATCATAATGATATTCTGAACACCTGTGCTCACAGAAGGCTGTTTGTTTGGGAGTGACTTTATCTGTGCATGCTGTCACACCACAGTCATGTGCACAGGCTCTTTCACAGCAGCTTTGTTTACATGTGGGGTCCACATACAACTGTAACTGTATGCAGACATATCAAACAAGTTACTTTATTTTTGTCCCAATATTAGTTTATTAAGCAGAGCTTGAAAGTAGTGCATTATCTTAAGTATTTTTTAGTTTTAATAGATCTGTTATTTATTTATATTTTTTTGAAAGCATACAACCCATGGGTGGGCGCTGCCTGTCAGCAGAGGGAGACCACTACATCTACCCACACATCACATCTCTTCTCACATGGTGCGTGCTTGTCTGCTCACCTCTAGCAGCTCCTTGTCCTGGTCCGTGCATGAAAGTGTCTGAGAGCCTGAAAAGCAGCATTATGTCTTTGCTGTTACAAACATCAAATGCAGTATGCTTTATGTAAAGGCTTGTTTGTGTATCTCCATGATACCACATTAGCGAGCAGCTAACAGCAGTGATTTATTTTTTTTCTAACTGACAACTGTTGAAATGTATTCTAAATTACAAAAATAAACAATATTATAGCCAAGCTTTGTTATAATTTGATGTTTCGGTTCTCAAGACAATTATCCAATCAGAAAGCAGAATAAGTCTCCCATTTGCCAGTGTCAATAATGAAATCCAGTTTGTTTGTAGGTTCCTCTCTGATCTGAATGCTCACTACCTAAACCCCAGCACATGTAGCCATTTATCAATGCTAGTGCAGCCTTGAGAGCTCAGTGAGTGAGTTTCACATGTGTTAGGCTTAGGGTTAGGACACATATGCAGGTTAAGGCACTGGCAACCCAGGCGATTATGATACCTTTTTTAAAAAAACAGTAAGAGTGTAGGCTATATATAATTCCTTTTACACCCAGATGCATGTTGTGCATAGGATACATACTATTTGGTGTCTCTGTGTCACTGATGGCTGATACTGTTTTCAGGGCAGATTTGAGAGGAAGTTGCAAGTTGGACACTGCTGGGCTGAAGGAAGACGTCTCTTCTGTAGAGATCTATGCAGAAAATATATTAAGAGGAGCCAGACACAGCCAAACACATGCAGACAAATACAGCACATGCACAGGACAGCACAGGTAAGGGCACAGACACCACAAACATCAAACATATAACCATTCACTACATGTAAACAAAAGGTGATATACTCATCATCATTACGTGTACACAGAAAGTATCAATTACACTTACCCCATCTGCCCATTACCCCCTCTGTGCCTTTACCTACTGCTACATGCTAGCCCCATGCTCCACCTGGTGTCGCCCGCCCTCACCCCGTCCCCGGTCGCCTCACACCTCTTGCGTGCTCACCAAAAAGCGAACCGTTTGGCGAGCGTTGGTGCGAGGAGTGGCGTTGATGATGTGAGTCTGCCCACAGGGGGAGCTAGCGCTGCTGTCCGAGGTCAGGCTGGGCAGAGGGTCCTGGGTCCCGTTGTCTTGCGCTATCTGTCGGAGGTACTCGAGCCTGCGCTGACGACCCAACTGCAGAGTGAGCAGAGATTGTAGCTGCAACCGCTCAATGGAGCCCAGCAGGATCATGGACTCTGAAACATGGACGGCGATATAACTCACCCAAAGGAAACTCTGGACTTTTGTAATGTGTAGAGCAAGTGAGTTTGTGCTTTTATTTAACGCAGGAAAGTAGTAACTTCAGGATTCACACTAAAATTCCTGTTATGAATTGTGCATGTATGTCTATGGTGGAATGTCCATCCTTTTCATTAATTTTCCATGTTAAAGTTTATGACACTGTTCATACACACTTTCATAGTTTATAAATGAAAAGTATCAACATAACATAAGGTTAGTCGGGTTAATGTACCAATTTGAAACAGAGCTTTAGCAGCAGCAGCAGTGATCCCAGCACATCTTCAAATTGCATTCTTACCTCTGGACTCGACCAAGGCCAGTGTTTTGAGCTGCCCAGTCTGCAGCATCTCCTGTAAGTCTCGATAAGTTGAGCTGAGTGTGATGTAACGCACATCTCTAACCATGATGTCCTCCACTCGGATATTATATTTCCTAAAAAGTAAATTGTTGACAATAGTTTCACAAACAAGTCAGCATTAAACTTGTCACTAATAAATCAGATAACTTCAATTTCAATCAGATAAACCAATAGCCAACAGGTCTTGTTCATATACAAACCAAAATCTGATTATAATCTGATTTCTAGACCTTTAAGATTACTTAAATGACATATCGAAAATTTATTTTGAGATAACTTTTTTCAATCTTTAACATTGTGTCACATTATTTTGCCCTTTTTTTTATCACAGTTTTGCACCGACTTGAACAATCAGAAAAATATCAGATTACTTGAATCACACATTACTGTTTACATGCCATTTCAACAACGTGATACCTCCAGAAATCAGATAATAATCAGATTTTCAGATTTTTGGTGTGCATGTGAGCAAAGCCACTGACAGACACACTTACTCGTGGTGTCCCATTCCCAGCTCAGGGAGGTAGGGGAGCTTCTTGATACGAATGATTGAATCGTAGAGTGAAGGTTGCAGTGCTTGAGCTACAGCATTGGCCAGAATGACAGCTATCATGACGGGCAGGATGTGTGAAATCTGACCAGTGAGTTCAAACACAATCACTGCCGTGGAGACAGTGTGCGTAACTGCTCCGGACAGGGCCGCTGCACCTGAACACATCACCAAAGGCAAGCTATTCCTTGTGTCCATTACATTGCTCTCATACAAATGTGTAGCATCATTTATTGAAACAGCATACCGACAACTGCATATCCTCCAGGAACTATGGGGTACACGGTGCCGTCAGCATGGATACCATCAGGAAATGCAGCCGCCATTATTTCTCCAACAAGGCGACCAAATGCTGCACCTGTCAATCAAATGCCAAAAGAACACACACAGCCCATCATGACGCAGTGTTCCTTTAACAAAAACAAGCCATTTTTCTCACCTATTAAAAAAACTGGCATGAAGGCTCCACATGGAACCGGCATGGTGGTGGCAACGGCAGACATCCAAAACTGAGAAAAAAAAAAAATCTATGCATCTAATACATACTAATGATTATAAGTGTAATTAAAATAAAAAATTTTTTGCACATACTTTCATAACGATGAAGAGGATGAGTGTGATGAAGACGTTGACTTGGGGGTGTTTCCAGGCGTGATGATGGCTGATGTAGTCAAACTCCTCTGCCACACCCTGTCGGCACCACGTCCGGTTGTCAAACAGAGCCACCAGGGACTCGTGCTGTGTCAGCTGTGAGAACAGCATAGGACTTTAATGAGCACAATACTGTACAGGCACAACAGAATCAAGCCCATTTTGGGACAAAGTGTCTTCATGTCCACGTGCACAGTGCACAGTGAATACTGGATTATCTGAGTTGTGGTACTACTAAGAAAACGTATCGTCTTAAACAACTTTAGACTCAAACTGTACAGATTCATTCATCTCTGTACCACCTTCTGTTTGTTTTGTTATTACACAGCTCAAAATAAAATTGATAATATTATTATACTGTCTGGAAAAAACTAAGAATAGACTAGCTGTATAAAATAAAGTCAGGTTAGAGTACATTATGCTTCATCACTGTCCATTGATTCATAAGCCTCTAAATCAGAAAACCTATTTATAATAAAATTTTTAACACAATATTGAATGTTCTTGTACAGCCAGATCAGACAAAAATACAAACTGTGTAAACATTTAACCCATAATTTTAAGTTGTTCATACGCCTGACTGAAATACTGAATAAGTAAAGATCCCAGAGATGTGTTTTCAAACTGTCAGAAATGTTTGATTTATGATTGCTCATGCTGTGCTTTTACATTTCTAAAGAACTGCAGGAAACTACAGTTTTGGGAAAGCCACAGAATTCAGTGGATAGTAATTCACTGAGGCTGCACTCCTGAAAACTGACGCTACATTTCTGTCAGTTTCCTGTTTCTACTGCAGCAATTTATATATATAATTGCTTTTAGACTTTTTCATGCATGACCACCCATCCTGACTCATTGTTATGCAGCTGAGGCCAACACCAAAAACTGCATAAATCTACTTATAAATCTCTGGTCCTCTCATTAGCCTTGGCAGTTAGCATCAGTGGATGAGAGGAGCAAGAGATTATGTCTAACCCGAGGCCCACACGCTTCACACACAACTGTCAGCTTTCATTTGTTTCTAGTGGCAACAGCAGAAGACAAATGGACTGTTGTCTCACCTGCCCAGCCATGAACTGCCCCAGGCCCGGGGGGAACGTCAGAGTAGACACCAGCAGAGTGACCAGAGCCGGGTACAGCAGGCGCCTGACAGGGAGAGAGGGACTGCAGCTACGTTAGTGGGGCCATGTTAAAGCCAATGGGCAAACTTCAAATGTGAGGGCTAAATATAAACTCTGATGTGATCAACTGACCTACTTCAACCACCCAAACCCACCACCACAACTCTGTAATGTAGGGCAACATGTTATACACACAAGGTGAAGAATTCCAACTACAATACAGTTCTGTTTTCTCACAAAATGTCCTTTTTAGTAACACTGAACCAGTTTGCAAGCAGTTGTAGATGGTAATTTTAAAACTCTAGATGTAAAACTTGCACAATCACAGTAAAACCTGCTAACAAGTGACAAGTGCCATTTTTAGATTGTTTCATTTTGTGTTTGATGATGTATAGGTTACAAACATCAAGCACATTGCCACATACAGTATACTAGTGTTGTAGTCAAGACCGCACTAATCGAGACCAAGACCTCTGGGGGTCGAGACCAAGTCAAGACCAAGAATTTTAAAGGCAGAGACTGAGACAAGACCAAGACCACAGCCCATTGAGACCAAATCAAGACCATCTTTGTCATTTTCTACATTTATTTGTATTTTAGAGTTATTTTGGCACATATATATCAATGTTTTTATAAATGTCCATTTATAAAATTTATAAAATTTCCATTGTATCACTCATCAAGTGTCAGATCTCGAGATCAAGACAAAACTGAGTCCAAGGGCCTTTAAGAGCGAGACAAGACTGAGTCCAAATGCGGTCGAGTCCAAGACGATACCAAGACCGAGTACTACGACACTACAATATACATTGCCTCTTCTTTAAAAGGTGCAGTGTAGCGGCTTATTGACCAACCTTATAGCCGCTTGGGAAGATCAGAGTGGGTCCTGGGGTCGTAGTTTGTGACGTGCATGAAGGCTATTGTAAACTAATACACTGGGATCCAGAATACATTTTGTATATTTATTAACAGACATACAGCTATCCCAGCACAGCAAAGAAGATGGATAGAACCAGTTGGAAAATAAAGGGTGAGTATAGAGAAAGCGTGGCGGTCAACAAAATTTACGGATACCCAGCACTGACCCTCAGTCAAAACTAGGTAACAGGTAAGTGCACACTTTTTAATCCTTCCACAGGCACACATGCACATGCACCTGCCCTTGTGAGCTCTGCCCCCTCTGCACCAGAGAAATACACCCACACCCTCAACCACACCGTGCACCAGTCCTGTCTCCTACAGTGCACTATGTAACTTTTCTGGTGTTGTGTTACCACTAAGGTCAATCTTGCATTAGTGAATTATTCAAGTGTCTTAAAATATGTAAAAAACATTCTCACTGTCAGTTGGGTCAGCTCATCATCACATTTAATGTCATACTGTGGAACATTCTAAAAAAAAGTAATAACAGGCAAGAAGCAGACCTCCTACAAGAAAGTTACAGGGTTCACCTTCAAAGCCTGTATTTATATGCGTGTGTGCCTAAAATGTTCCACAGTATGGCCATAAACTCATGAATCTTCATAGAGAATTGCAAGCCAAATTACAGGTTAGATTTGTGGAGAGGCGACCCCACTAACAGTAAGAATTTAATAGCCCCTCTAGTTGAATAAATGCAAGACAGATTAGTTTAATACCATACTGTGGAATCCTACTGTCAATTTAAACCAAAGCATTAACATTAAAAGCTGCAGATGCTCTCCAGAAAAGTTACACAGTGCATCTTTAAGGTGAGTATTATTATAATGATTATACATTTGCGTCTTTTTTTATTACAGTAGTAGAAATCGCACTAAAAGATCTATTAAAGCCACATTTATTATCCATGTAGTTACTAAAGCTCAGATCCTTACTTTCTCAGTAGGAACTTGTTGATAGTCTTCTGTTTCCTCATGCATTCCACTATGAGCCTGTTCAGATAGACAAACAGAGCTCCAGCGAATCCACAGGCGATTCTAAACACACACAAGAACATCTTCAAACATTTGAGGTTGAATAAAAAAGTACTCCACAATCCCCTGAGACTTCCTCTGACAGTAAACCACGTCTTAATGTTTTTTCTCTCATATTTAACATTTCAACATTCACTAAATGAGAAAATGCACTGATTTAAAACATTGCTTCCTTTTTAAATCAGCAGACTAAATAGTTTAATTTCATGCACTGTTCTTTGTGACAATCCAACCATGTGGATCAAATCTGAGTTTGTGTGAAAACATGGTGAGCTAACCCCAGAATGGCAAATGCTGGCAGCTCCTGCAGATCAAATGGGAAATCCAGACGGAAGCGTGTTTTGAAGAGCGCAGTGATGGTCTCTGAGGACAGGGAAAAGATGTCACCTTAGAGAATAGTACACCATACTTACATACATACTGTTTAAAAATTCCTCTGGGCACTCCAAGAACTAAATGAAAAAATCAGTTTTATCATTAAATTTTCGCAAACTTGTCTTTCAGGAGTCTGTGGAAATAGAAAAAAATAATAATAATAATCCCGAACATTCTCTATGCAGGTAGGTTTTGTGCCATATTATATTATAGCAAAATGATCAACAATTCTACAGAAACAAGCAGCTGGGTGAAATATGAGTGAGGTTTGTGGAATAAGGACCCTTGTTTTTCAGTGCAATAAAAACAACAACAAAACTTTACTCTATTTTTGGCAAAACAAATATATTAACTGAAATACAGTCACATGTATGGGGCCCTTTACCCTCCTCCTGGTTCCACACAGCCAGCACTCTGAAGATGAAGGCACTGAAGGTGGCGGCGAAGAAGCCCCTCCAGTAGTTTCTCACAGCAAAGAACGTAGAGGTCACTTCGATGCTGAACAACACCCCTGAACCAAACAGAGAGCACATGCTGTTACATATTTGACAGAGGTGGGCAGTATTCCGTTACATTTACTCCTACTTGAGTAATAATTCTATTGAAGTAACACTCATTTGCTGGAGTAAAAGTGTTAGTTACTCTTCCCATTGTGAGTAAGTTGACAAGTGACAAAAGCTTATTATTACAACAATATTAAATGACCATTTGTGCTTCTTGCGCCACTCCTTGAAATATAACACAGTATTTCCTCTATCCTTTGAAAATACCAGATTTTGTGCATTGTGTTTATAATTCCAATTATAAATCAGATGTTATGTCCTGACAGTTACTCTTACATTTATACTCTTAGTTGAGTAATGTCTACTTTGTACTTCTTGAGTAATACTATTTTGTACTTCCTGTTTTACCAAATGACATCACAAGATAGAACAGAGTTTTCTGTTTGAGAATTAAGAAATTAGCCTAAATATGGAGGGTTTGTGTGGAAAACATGTGAATGAAACAAAACACAATTCAAGGTATGTTTTTGATAAGGAAACAACATTATAACATAGATCACAAAATAACGTAATACTGAGTCTTTAATAATGAAAATACTGGTGATTGTGAATTGCTCGATTTGCTGTGGTGTATTGACCAAACAAATCAGTCATTCATCTTTGAGAGTATGCAGTGCTCTGAGGTGATAAAGAGTACAACCTGACAGCGCGAGAAAAGGTCAAAGGTCATAGAAACTTATATATTAGGTTTCACTTTCAACAGTTAAGACATTGATCTTCATGAATGATGGCATCTCCAAATCTTCAGCACAGCGAGTCTCCCCCCTTATCTAATTAGCTCCTGTAATTATGGAGCATAATGAGACAGCGTTGTGAGAAGGTGTGCGTGTGGTCTCACCCCCGATGGGGGCGGCGAAGCAGCAACCCACCCCCACGGCGCAGGCGGCAGACAGCATCTCCGTGTTCCTCAGCTCGTTCTGTCCAGAGGGGGCACACAAGAGCATACAGAGACCTACACATGCACTGGCACTGCCAAGCTTATCTACAACACCAACAAGTGGCCACATGCACACACTGTGGTACTCATGCATTTCTAATGAAAAAGCCAATGCTACTAAACAGGGCTTAATAGAGCTTAATTAAAATTGTGTCATAATCTTGCCCATGACAATTATAATAATCATAATTATCATGGATTAGTAAGCACTCTTTCATTAGAAAAAATATCCCACCTTCAACAGTTGAGCATATTTGCAGTACAAACCTTGTCAGTAAACTATAAGGACAAAAAACAAAACAAAAATGATTGTCCATTAATTGAAAACGAGATCAAATGTAGACAAACTATGAGCAGGTCAGATCACCCAGCCCTACCAAACTTTACTGACCCTATATAAGACATAAAGACATCTTTATAGAACATACAGACAGCACTACTAGAATTTTCAACTTTCTCTTTATCATTATTGTTCATATACTGCCTAATATAAAACATACTTTACACACCCACCATCCCATACAATGAAAACTTTAAGCGTATACTAAAAGACACTGCGACTATTGATGCTTTGCAGCTCATATCATCAATATTGCGTGGGGGTGTGATGCTAACTGTAGGCACAGCTCTATCTGAAACTCTGTGACTCAAGTTAGACTTTAATCTGATCTTTTTTTTTTAACACAATCTGACCCGAAAGAGCTTAATTAACTTAACTGATACTACAACAGGTGAGATGATCTGTGCTCTTAGAGATACATGTAGAACACTCCCTGTGTGATGTCACTGCAAAGTATCAATACTACACACTATCCTGTGTCTCCAACTAACACACCAAAATTTGCAAATTAAACAAAGCACTGAGCACTAAATGTATTCTGCGACTAATTACCATCAAGACGTGGAACAATTATCTAATCATTGCAAACCCAGGGCTGAGTGTTGACGCTATAAAATGAGATGTTTGTACAATAACCGGATGAGACACAGACCCATGTGTCGCGGTGACACTCCATTGAGCACATCCAAACACAAATGGAAAAGCCATCAGTCTCTGCAGCAACATGAGAAATGGACAGCATGGTTTAATAATGGTATGACTTGTGTTTTTTCATACCTTGCTCCCCTCACAGGGCTCTTCCTTTAGCGTAAACAGGGAAAGACAGAAAGAGAGATGTGAGTGAAGAAATTACCTTTTTTTTTTTTGTTTGCTTTTCTTGGAGGCGTTCCAGCTTATTATCCCACAGTGTTATACAAGCTGCAAAATGGGCTTCTGCAAACATGTCCACAGTTTGATTAGGTATAATAGAGGGAGTGTGTTTTTGTGCGGTCTTCTCTGGTGTTGCTGGGGTCTATCTTGCTCCATACTGGGGGTTGCTGGGGCATGGAGGAGAGCTCTGGCAGTGATAGGCCCAGATTAGTCCCGGGCAGATTTGGAGAGAGCACAGGGCCGTGCATGGGGTGGTCTCGCATGAGTGACACTGTGTCCTGAAAGAGGAGTCAAAGGATTTCAGATCGGGCTTTTGTTTTGGTGCAGTGTTTAGTTTAGTGTATTTGTTTATTTTAACAGGGATGTGCAAACAGAAAAGAAGAGATGCTTTACAATAGATTTAGTGAAAGCTTGTTTCGATCTGCTGTCATCGGGCAGGTTAATAAACAATGCATTCCTCCATTCTTTCATTTAAAGGACCCATTTTACGGTATTTTCTGATCTATGCTATAATGTTGTTTCCTCATCAAAAATATACCTGGAGTTGGGTTTTGTTTCAGTCACACATATTTAAACCACACACCCTGCAAGTTAAATTAACATGAAAACTGCCACTACTTTGGCATTTTGAGCTTTGGAGATGTAGACTAATAATACAGAATTACTCAAATGTGTGAATGAAATAGAACTCCAAGTATTTTTGAAGAGGTAACAGCATTATAACATGGTTAAAAGCTCACAAGAATACAGTTTGAGTAATACGGGACCTTTATAAACATTACACTCCACATTTCTACATTTCTAATTACTCAAAAACTCTAAAACATTACCGTATAAGCTACCACTATGCAAATACAAATCAGTGCTGACTATCTGAAAGGACTTTCTAACACAATAGAAGTCCCTCGGGTCAGAGGAAAGTTTCAGCTTGTTCCATTTTTTAATGCCCTTGTATGAGAAGGCTGTCTGTGCAAAGGCTGAGCTACATCTGGGGAATCTGCAGTCATAGAGAAGGGCTACACAATTGCAATTAGGTTCGTTTTATGTTAAAAAATTAGTTCAGAATGCACATTATAAACAACTTCAGGGGCATTAACAGTATTAGCATTAAATGTGAACTGCTAAAATAATACAAGAAATGCAGAGGTCTAAAAACTAAAGGGGTTAGCATGTGACAAAAAGACAAGATATATTATTGTTTACACTTGACTTTCTGTAAATAATTGCAGCCTTTGTGATTTCAATTTAAACGCAATGTATTGTGTGACCTTATGTAGAAGCCATAGCTTTATCAGTTGCATAGGAGTGAGTTGATTGTAACCTCACTTATATTACCAAACAATATATGTTAAAGAATATTAACTACAACTAGAAATTATTAAGCTTCACATTTTTTGACTTGACATAAGGGCATCAAATAGTCGCCTGGTTCTATAGTGTATGTATTTATGGTATATCAACCTATTTAATAAAATATAAGCATGGACAATTCAAGAACCGGAAAGTCTTTACCATAGTTTCAGTAGCTTTATCTGTCCATTTTATAATTTTGTTTACTTAGATGTAAAAGGACGTCTACAAGGATGCACAAATACATTTTATATGAATATAAGGGGAATTTTGCTCATTAATAACGGCATCTTTTCCTTATATTATATAAATGTGGACTTAAAGGCATTTTGTAATCTGCAACAACACAAGCACATCTAAATATTGTCCATTTCTTATTTGCTTTATCTTTTTGTATTGTTTTCACCACCACCCCTTTTAGCAATAATCTGGCCCCTCAAAGGTCATCTTATTGTATCTTCATATTGTATAAGGCCCAAAGGTTACAGCCTCTGCCTGTAATGAGCTGCTTTCTCATTATAACTTGGCTTGATAGCTTTAAATAATCCCATGGGCTTGGTCTAATATCCACCTGAACTGCTGGTGGGATTTGCATCAAAAAGCGTCTCTCCTCCTCCTGACAGGTACATGGGGGGTGGCAGTACTGGTACCTTTGCAGAGGATTTCACTGTGTATTTGAAATTTCTTTAAGTTCATGTAAGATGCCCAAAGTTTGTGCATTTGTGTTTTGTCCTCACCATGTAAATCCCTCCAAACACGGCCGCCATGAATTTACTGAGGAGAGCTGCGCACAAACTGGCAACGTGCACAAAGGGCCCCTGCCAAAGATAACCAGAGATACATATGTTAATAGACGCAGGGCACGGCCGGGAGTACAAGATTAACACTGTGTAAAACACTGGCGCTCAAATGTATGCAGAAATCTTGCTTGAATAAATTTGCCAACAATTTTATTACTCTGCAAATGGATACAGCAAGCTCCATTAGCGATAAATCACATTTTTATTTTCACTTGACTTTAATGTGACCGAAGGAGTAATGATTTTTAGATCTTGGGAATTTCAGAAGAAATCTTGGGAGAGACATGTCATAAGCGAGGTCTAATGAGTTGAATATATTACAGTACCTCTTTCCCCAGAGGCATGCCACTGCCCAGAGCACAGGTCAGCCCGATGACTTTGGCCACAAAAGTCTTAAAGGTGAGGTACTCCTTCAGCACCACTCCTCGTAAAATGGTTTTCATTTCGGGAATGCCTGATCCTGAAGGCGGCGGATTGACAGAGAGACAGGGAAAGGCAAGTTGAAGGAAAGCAATTATTGGAAGACATGATGAGAGACATAAATTAAACCTAGAGGGAGGAGCAGATGAAGAAAGCTGATTAATATTCATATAGTTTTGTGTATGCCCATCTCATCACTTTATGGATTTTTTTCTGCCGACGTGAACACTAAAAGGCCTATGTCCTTGAAGGCCTTACCTTGCATTAGGGAACCAATTAGAATATTCAAACACACACCAGGAATTAGATAGATCCGTTGCGCAGACTGTTTACATACAACATCTTACCAACGGCTTGAGGAGCGAGGATCTGAGTGAATCCTGCGGAGAATGTGATGAGCACCACGGGGTATGTGACCCAGGCAATGTACTGTAACAGCAGGTTACTGCCCAGACCACCGTACATCCACTTCTGTGCTGCACACACACAAGAGCACACACACAATGGAAGAGGATGCTCCTTTGCACGGATCCCCACTACTTTATAGATATCATAAAATGGTAATGCTAAATCCCCATCTGATTACAGCCTCAGCATGGTTTAGGTCATCTATAAAACTATAAATCAGTGTTGTAGACTAAAAAGTGGTGTAAGGGTAATCCTACATGGTACACAAGCAAGAGGCAAGAAGACTTAATCCTCTTTTAAACATATATGGCAAACTCAAAGCTTCATAATATTTTTTGCTACCTCTTAAGCATATTTGATTTGGAAAAAAAATGTTCAGCTTGAGCTAGTTTTAACAGTGGTTCAACATTTTTTCATTTTCATTTTTATTAAACTATAAATTCTCTTCCAATGGCTAAATTGACAGTTGAAGTAGTTTTACTTTCAGAGAACTTGGTAGGTTGTGTTTTTAAAAGAGACTATTTCAAATTGATAAGATTATGGAGGAAATGCAGTAAACATCCTCTGGTTATAAAATGTCACACTCTGTCACACTTTTAGGTGTGTAAATTACCAAACACAACCTCTGATGCAATACAAATTAATTTTTAACACCTCTCCTCTGCTCACTGTGTGTTATAAGTATTTCCTCTTTGGCCCTGTCTTACCTTCTTGGCAGAAAGCTATCGCATAGTCCATGACCCAGCTCACGAGGGCCATTAGCAGCCCCAGCAAAATGAGAAAGATCCAGTCTTCCCCCACTCTGGAAATGAGGAACTTTTGGCATCGAGACGCACACACTGAAAGACAGACAAAAGTATAATTTAGAAATGTGCTAATAATTGCATTATAACTGGGAGTTGGGTCAGCTAAAAGAGGCAACACTGGACCCATTTCCTGTCCTGTCTGCAGATATAGTATTGAATTCACTTCAGAATCCAGAGCATTCACAGATGTGCGCTCCCGAGAGAGGTCTAAAATGTGCCACTAACACTTGAGTCAGATCCTTATTTCACAAGCAACAAGAAGCAACACTTGTTAAAGGTGTCGAAGTTTAACAGGCATCCGCATATAGCACTGAACTAGGGACTGCTTTTGCTGAGGAGAAGCCTCATAATTCTGGAAACAGAAATTACAGGGGCCACTTTTACAGTTTTAGGTTCAACTAAAGCAGTGTATAAATCCGCAATATATAAAATCTTGCTTTAAGACAGTGTGGTAATAATGTCTGTACTAATATATACTAAATATATTTAAAGTGTATATGAAAGATTTTCATGCATTTCTAATTATTATTTGGTTTTCTAGAATAGTACTACTCGTGGTAAATATAACAGATAAAAGTGTTGTCGTTCATGTTTATTATATTGTAGTGAAATGAGAAGTCTAATTTGTCATATGCAACCTTTCTGAGATGGATAGGGGTGCTTAAAAAATCCCCACAAGCTAATGCACAGATAAACAAAAAGTTAGTGAACAATAGATACAACTGAAGAAAAGAATAGCTGAGTGGGCTGACTTTAGGTGCGCTATGCAACTTTTCTGGTGTAGGGTCAGCTTGCCTCCTTGCCTCCAAAATGAATTTAATACGATACTCTGAAACATTCCAAGCAAAGCAATACAATCTCCAAGGAGACAAGGAGGAAGCAGTGAAGTAACACAGTATGCCTTTGACTCTAACTCTGTTTCTAATATTTCTAAAAATAGCATAAAATCTTATGTTTTGAAAACATCTGGTCAAGTTGAATGGTGAATGGTCACATTTTTATATAGTGCTTTTTCACCTTCAAGGCACTCAATGCATAGCCTGATTCATCAGCCAGTTTCACTTCGTGGAAACCGTCTGACCTCGCAGCACTAGGATTTGTTCGCTCGACAGTAGGAGGGTACTTCTTTTATTTAACCAGTCCCTGCTATTTGTTTATGATGTATGTAATGCTCCACTAACAGGGCTAACTGGTATATTAAGCTTTTCCCAAATGCTGTAGGAAGATGGGCAATAACGTCTTTCCTCTCTTTGTTCCGGCTTTAAATCCTCCATCTCGGGAATCGTTGCCAACACTTAATGTACGGCTTTGTCTACATCCATCTCGACTGCTTTGTTTACTGTTGTGCTGTACCCAGTGATGGCTTCACAGCTATTTGGCTGGTGTGTGGTCTACAATCAGGGTTCTTGCAAACCAACTAGTGTATTCCAATTCCTCACCTAGTCGCTGGAGAGAAATGAAATTAAGCACCAGCCTGGCTACTCAAAGCACTTTAACAAGGAACCACTCACACATTCATACACAGTGTAACCAGACACTAGGGCCAAAGTTCATTTAGTGTCTTGCCCAAGGACACAATGACAGTATTCATCTGTGGGAGATGTAATTGCAATGGCAATCTGTGAGCTATAGGTTTTAGACTGCTCTACGATGATGTTTTTATGTCGAGAACACGATTCCAACCTCAAACCTTCGGATCAGTGGACAAACTACCAACTGAGCTACTCTCACCCCAACATTTCAATCATTTAGTATCAATAAATATACTATGTGGTAGTATGTGCGAATAAGTGGTTGCCTCAGCCTCCTTTTGGGCTGTGTATGCGTCTATGTACATATGCAATGTAAATTAAAAATAAAAACTAAACTAAAAAAAACTTGTCTACACTACTGTCTATCCCCTCAAATGCACACAGACGGGTAGCATCTGGCCAATTAAGCTGTATGTGCACACACTCCCTCACTCATTACTATTACTTCCCCATTACATCACCTTCAACCAACAATTCTTAATTATATTTACTACAAGAACAAGAGAGAAATGTGCATGGTCAAACACTAGTGCTAGGCAGACACTTATATAACAGTAAGCCAAGGCAGAGCATGATTCAGTCCATCTTTTTTGGCTGTTGGACACGATTGTTTTTTCAGTGTGTAGGACGTGGCGTTCAAAAAGCTACTGATCCGAACAGAGGCACATGGAACGCCACAGCACCCACAGCAAAAATGTACCCACACATACAAATACGAGGAAAACACTACAAAAAACCACCCACTTCACTCACTCCAAGGGCTATCACTCCGGAGATAAAAAGACCAACAGTACAATCTAAAAATACAAGCCCCTTTTGATTTATGGGTACACTGAGGCGGCAGAGGCACAAATCACGCCCGGCTCCTGATCTGAATGTGATGGTTTTAAATGGCTCCATTACGACGCCTGCCACTTTAACCTGCGAAGCAATCATTCCTGCTTTAATCAGATCAGCCAGCGCAAGGGCAGAGACACAAAGGCGCATTTTGGAAAACAGTCACTGCCTGAGTTAGACTTTAAATTCTACTGTGATTTCAATACACAATGTCAAACTACTCAGTGTCCCAAAAAGTGATATGAGGAATGTTAAAGCCACACCATGTAACTTTTGGGCCAAGAAATAGACTTTTTTATTATTTTGGATGTGTATATTATATTGAAATACATAGAAAAACACGAACCGTTATTATGAACAGGCATTTCCACAAACCTGACTTCTGCTTGTTTGCTTGGAAATATTCCTTTGGCAATAATTTTCCACAGTATGGTATAAAATATATCTATCTCCATGGAGAATGTTCTGAAATTTGATTTAAACTTTCTATATCCATTGAATGTTGCAAGTGAAGGTTTTATTGTTTATCTGACATAAATACACAAGAAAGACAACTATGAAAAATACAGGAATATGAGAAAAATAAAATAAAACTAAAAAATGTTCTGCAAAATTGAAACAGCATTAAAACAAAACAAGATTTAAATTTAAGATATGATAAGTTAAGAATAAGAATTTTAGTTATACTTTTTGTTTTTGTTTTTTTGCTTACAGCCACATTGTTTGATATCATCTTCACTGAAACAGTAAAAATAGTATATAGTATATGGTGATATTTTCAAAATAACAAATTGTTCAGTCAGTTATAATTTACAGTATTCAATATTCAATTACAGTGTCTGAAACAGGATTTGTTTGGCTGGGCTGGCTTGAGACTGCAGAGATGCCAAATGTGAGTGTGACACAGTAAAAACTCATGTGAAGGAGGGCTTTCAGTGTCCTGGTGCCTTCTGAGAAACACTGTTGTCATGAGGAGGGGATAATCATTTGGGAATCTCATTTCCCAACAGTGGAAAACTCTATAACAGAGAGAGGAGAGGAAAAGTGACTTTAGTCTTACACTTTCACCATGCACTTCCACATCTTCTCCAGAGGGCTTGTCTTTAAATACTCTTTCGATTTTGTCAAACCCTCTGGTATGACTGTGGGATGTATGGGGGTGTTCACAACAAGAACTATAAAAGCAAACAAGTTACACAATTTCTTTGTCACTGTGACAACACCCAGCAACAATTTTGTAATTGAATAAAAGCTAACTTCATAGTTACTAGACCTATCCAAATGAAAAAGGCAAAAAGAAATCAACCAGAAACTAGGTTGAAAATATTAGCATTTTTGGAAGGCAAATTCAGCCACAATCCTTTCCTCCTAATATTTAAATTCTGGAAAGCTGTGATCCCACATGAACCCAAACTACTGAAACTTTGCAGCTGAGGGTGTGACGCTAACTGAAAGCACTACTCTGTTAGAAGCTCTGTTACTCAAGTTACTTGACTTAATCTGAGCTTTATTTTAACATAGTCTGACCAAAAAGATCTGACTTAGCTGGAATTACAATGCATGAATGGATTTGTGCGCTTAAAAAGGTTTAAAACAGTATAAATTTAGAGCCACAAGCTCGTTGGTTAGTTACTCTAACATTTTTGTTGAAAATCAGTTAAATTAATTTAGTATTTTCAAGCTTTTTTTTTCTGCGTTTGCTAATGTGTGCATTGTGTCACCATAGTAATTGCTGAACATTCTGCCACTAGAGATACAGGTAGAACACCCCCAGAACTATGTCAGTAAAAAGAAGCAATTCCTTGGATTTATTGCATAAAACTGTACAAGAAAATAAATGTGTGCCTTTTCTTTTTGGTCCCAGCCCACCTGTAGGAGTAATCATTGTTTGTTTAAAGCCAAATTAAATGATACATTCACTACATAACATACACACCATAATTTACTACTGAGATAATCATTTATGTGTTTATTCCATTTTGAAATGTGTTGTTTTGTGTTTGGCTCAGATCAGCGAGCATTCAGTTGTCCTTAGTTATGAATAATTTAACAGACTGTGAAAGTTGTTGAGGTGAATGATGCAAACTCAATACATCAGTCTAAAATATAGTCCTGTCTAGAGCCACTCCCTTATCTACAAGCATCAGAGGCCGGACATAAAACAAATCTGACAGCCTCTCTCTACCTGTCAACTCTCCTCTGACCAAACCACACGTGACCAGCAGAGGGGGCTACGCCAGCCTGACATTGAGCCTGTCCTAGTGCTGGAGGTCAGTGCATAGTTATGTTTAATCACCTCTGCTTCTCCCTTGAGTTGTGAATGTGGAGTCTACTTGAGGAGTACAACACTTCCACACTCATTCAAACACCGTGTAGTTCTGTGCAAGGCTGCTCCTGCTCTGCCCTTTTCTATTAGGAGGCTGAAGCTTCTCTCTGGTGACCTTCTGGACAAATGTCTCTCCACTAAAAGCACAGCGCTCTGACCGAGGAGCTGCACTTAAACTATACACAGGCTCTTCTTCAGTGCCTTAGTCAACAGTTGTCCTGTCCCCAACTACACCTCCCAGGAAACAGGGCACAAAAAATATGTACATGAGGGTGGTCATAGAAACATGCAGGAAGTAAAAAGATATGTCTTCTCAGGTTAGAATCAATAAAATAATTCTAAAGGCAGGTCATATTACGCATCACTGAGATGAAGACAAAGACAATATCATTTAAATGTAATTTAAAAACTCTTCATGTGTATAGGTAACAACTGTTGAGCAAAAGGTTATGGCCTATTTTTTGCACACTGTGGTTCACACATGCAGGTGATAGTTAAATGTGTTTGTCTCTATGGCATTAAACTAATATATCTCCATGGAGACATCACCAGGTCATGTTACAGGTCAGATCTGAGGAGAACTGACTCTGCCCACAGTAAAAATATACGTTTTTGTAATGCCATAATGTGGAATCTTCCAGGCAAAGTAATAATATCACCATAGAGACAAGCAGGTGGTGGCCTCCAGAAAAGTTACATGGCATATGGACAAAGTAGTTATTATAATAGCCTAAAGGCCAGTGCACACCAGAGTGAAATAATGGAAAATAATGGAGGTGGTACTTTTGCGTCAAACTGTCCCAGAGTGCATTGATCTCAAGGGTTCTTCGTATCAGTCCATGAATAAATACTTCTTTTATTTGGTAATAGTAATTATAGATAACAACCCAATCATAACTTTGTGTGTTTTGTATTTACTATAAATGACTTGTATTTGGTGAGTAACTTACTTTGGCATTTGGCACAGGGGTCCTTCTCGTACTCGAGCAGGTCGGCGGCTCTGCTCCGGACGCTGGTGTTTCTCCGCAGCCCCCCTCCATCACGTACCCCCCCGTCACGTAGGCGCGCTGCTTCCTCCTTGGCATACACACCCAGCTCCTGTGTGTAGCGCCCATACATCTGTTTGGGAGACACAGGGGGAGCAGTTATATTCAGTCCGCACAGGTGGGCAGCAGGTGATAATGAGACAGCACATTTTCCCACAGTACACAGAGGTAGTGAATGCACCACGAACCAGAGACGTTAGGAAATCTATCACGTCCAACTTTAGAGAAAGAAAGTAACTGCACCACCACTTGACTGTAAGCCTTCCTGGCAGAACTGTGCAGACTGTATGGTTTTCAAAAGAGCAAAATGAAAAATGTAGAATGAGGCCGTGGCGGTGCGGGGGTGAACAGGAAGAGCAAAAATACGAAGAACACTAGAGATGCAAGGATACTGTTGCTAGTAGTGAATATTGGCACCAATACTGAAAAATTTACTAGATCAGGTTCCATAGCATCAGTTAAGCAAGCATCCTGGTTGAAACTTTAATTAGAAGTAATACGATTGTTTACAGGCTGATTTGGGCTTAGAATGTCTCATAATGTTTGAACTGTTATTCATATAAAGCTGTTCAGTAGTTATTTGAAGGATAAATAAAAGTAGCTGGACAAGTTAAGTTAAACAAGTTAAACAAGTTAACTATGTTTGAAAGGTGCATTGTGTAACTGGTGGAGGAACTGTCAAATGCTTCTCTATGGAGATGTTATTGCTTTGTCTGAAATGCTTCACAGTATGGCATTAAACCTTTCTATCTTTATGGAGACCAAGCCAGGCCAAAGTACAGGTCAGAGCTGTGGAGAGGGAACCCCGCTGACAGTCAGAATGCCTGTTTTTCTTTGCATTTTTGAGCTATAAAACCCCCTGTAACTGAATAAATACAAGGTAAAGCTGTTTAGTGTCATACTGTGGAACATTCCAGGCAGAACAATGTTACATTAATATTCATGGTAACAAGCAGAAGACGGACCCTCAACCAAAAAGTTACATAGTGCACCGTGAAGGAAATAAGTAACATTTTTTATCTCTACTCTGGTATCTGTTAATATCGGGTATCGGCAGATATGTAAAGCAAAAGAATCAATATCGGTACCCAGAATTGAAAACGCTGCATCAGTGCTTCGCTATAGAGAAATGTATCAACTAGAACAACAACTGAAAAAAGTTAGAAAAAAAAAAAAGAAACTTTCACTAGTAGTTGTTGTCCTTTAGACAGTAAGATCAATGGGCAAATAGTGTCTTAGCTGACCAAATATGAGCTAATTATTTTATTTGGATTATAAGTATTTATATCAAGAACAGCAAAAGAGTGAAAGCATGGAGTGAGTTAGCTGGAGATCTGAGAGCTTGCAACAAAATATTTTATCGGAAGTGCATTTCTTTTAGATGGTGACTCCGTTTTTGGGGCTTAAAAACGCAAACATCTGAAACCACCTTCCAGAGTCGAAAAGTTGAATATGCTCCGCCATAGCGTTTCCATCTACACTGCCCAAGACGCAAAACTCTGGTCAGATTTGCTCACATACACGTTTACGTCACATACATACAGTACACACAAACAAACACGTCGGATGGGATGCATACCCAATCGAATTCCACACACACCGCCTGAAAACGCTCGTCTAAACGCACAATAGAAAGTGAGCACGCGATGCCACTTTTATGTCTTCAAACCGTCATCATATAAACATGGCCTAAGATGTTTTCTACAAGCACTCCTCTTTATATAATAGTAGTTTTTTTTTTGCAAGATCTTAAGATTGAGCAATTATGTCAGCCTCACTCTGCTCCCCATTTAGTTAGTTAATTAATCAATGAACACAGCACGTTTTAGTGAACCCAAAATTTCTTTAGTCAACTACAGCCCTGTTTACAATGAAAAGTCTTCTGTATTCTTGGCACCAAACTTCAATTTGGACTGAAAATCTACAAAAGACCAGACACATTTTTCAAAGCCAAAAACAATTTATTGTTGAAACATTTTTGGAGCTCACTTACTCAACATTCTATTTCAGAAACTACAACCATGACCAGCTTGAAAAATTAAAAATAAAACGTGAAAAACATTTAGCTTTGAGAGGAAAACAGCTCACTGACACAAACCAGCAATTCACACCCATTCACCAAACATTACACTTCTTCAGAGAAAATGAAACTCAAACCACTTCCAATATAAAACAGTCTTCACTCCTAAAATCCATTTCTGTAGTACTTTCATTTAATCTCTTGAGCACTTCTGAAGTACTCAGTTGTGTTACTTAAGTAAAAGTACAGATACTGAAGCAAAAAAAAAAAAAAAAGTAGTATCCAAGTATCCAACTACTAGAGTAAAAAGTAAAAGTATTTGGCGCAGATTTTTAGATCTAATAAAGGATCAGATGTAATCATTTTTATAAAGATTTGTGCTAAAGTTTGGTCAACAGAAAAACTGAATTTGTATATTTTTGTTTGCTCAAATTGCTCAAATTATGAACACAATAAAGTAAAAAATAATCCCCCTTAACCTTTTTCAGCAGGTCTCAGAGAATAATAAAAAATCCTTTTACTTTTCAGTCCTGTTAAAGAAGTAGAAGTTTTAAGTAGAAGTAAAGCATAGATACCCAAAATGTATACTTAAAGGTGCATTGTGTAACTTTTCTGGTGGAGGATACATCAAATTCTTTTCTCCATGGAGATGTTATTACTTTGTCTGAGATGTTTCACAGTATGGTATTAAGCCTATCTTCATGGAGACCAAATCAGACCGTGTTACAGCTCAGCTCTGTGGAGAGGCGACCCCGTTCACAGTCAGAATGTCAGTTTTTCTCTGTATTTTTTTTTTTTTGAGCTATAAAACCACCTGTAAGGTAGTGTTGTTTAAAGTCATACTGTGAAACATTTCAGGCAGAGCAATGACATCCCCACAGAAACAAGCACATGATGGACCCCAACCAAAAAGTACCATAGTGCAACTTTAAGAACAGTACTACATTTATTGTGTTCCTTCCTTCCTTCCACCACTGTTCCCATCATCAGTCAAGTCTCAAGTCAAGTCAAGTCAAGTGCTCCTCTCTGATCACATGACCTCTGATAGATGAGCACCATCCACCTGTATGAGCTGAGCTGATTACCTCTGCAGGGCTGGAATACAATTAAGCACTAATAATAACAGGGGTGGCTCTGTCGGCATACCCAATCCATCACAACACAAAAGCCTCTCACGCAAGCCATGCCAGCAGTGCCCCTCTTTGCCCTATCATCATCTCAACAGTAACGCACTACAATGGCGGTGTTCAAGAGTCTATTTAGTGCGGTGATTGCTGTTTTGGCCTGTCATGTCCACAGCCAATGGGTACCCAGTAATATGCAACAACAACCCTGGGCGACACCGACTCAACATCTACCGCCCGAGAATCCGATACCCACCGCAACTGCACCACCCCCTGACAAATGCCAAGTGGAGCGTGGCGCCAAGATCCACTGCGGACACTCAGATGTTACCCCCGAGCAGTGTTGGAGCATAAACTGTTGCTATGATGGTCAGATGTGTTACTATGGGAAAGCAGGTACAAATCTATTATGGTGAATGTTCAGTGGGGTGTATGAAATAATCTGTGGTTTGAAGAGTACTGTAAATATTTACTATATACAAAAATACAAGTACTGTGGCCACATTTATTAAAAGGCCTATATTGCGTTGTTTTCGGATCTATGTTATAATGTAGTTTCCTCATAAAAACATACCTGGAGTTGTGTATTTTTTCATTCACATGTTTAATACACAAACCCTGCATATTTGGGCCGAGTTCTTCTCACACCGTAAACACTGCTGCACCTTGTGATGCCATGTGGTAATACAGGAAGTGCTCCACTGTGCTTTTAAACCCAACAATCATTTGGATGACTGTAGTCCAGGAAATCTCAAACTCTTCTAAAGTATAAATGTAGATAAAAAGCTGTTAAATTAGAATAGAGCATTTGGAGTTTTGGAGATGTAGACAGACAATAAAAAAATCACTCAAACATGTGTGACTCAAACAAAACACAACTCCAGGTTTGTTTTTTGATTTGTTTAACTGTAAAGCTGAATGAATGCAGTCTCCAGTTATGTCTTTGTATATCAGTCAAAAGTTTGGACACACCATGTAATTTAGTGTGTTTAATTGTTTTTATTTTTCTTTCTACATGTTCAATATATACAGAAGAGATCAAATATATGAAGATGTATGGAATTATACAGTAAAGAAAAACATTAACTAACTCTACTCTGTGAATTTTAATTCTGTTTCATTACTACATAATTACAAATATCTTATTTTATATATTTGACACCTTTTGTATGTATGAAATGTAGAAAGCAGTAAAAATACAGAAAAGAAAAAAGAACTGGAAGAAATAAAACATTAAATGAGATAGTGTGTCCAAACTTTTGACTGGTAGTGTATAGTCTTATAGAAAGGAGCTTATATAATTGCACTCGATTATAAATCTAAGGACATCAAAGATCTACTAAAAGAAACACCATTATCCAAAGCATGTACTCAATTGCTGTAACATTGTTCATTTGTAATTATTCAACTGGCTCTTATTTTCTTCTCTAGTGACTTTGCAGTGTACCAGAGATGGGCAGTTTGTGGTTGTTGTGGCGAGGGATGCCACATTGCCACGTATCGATGTGGATTCTGTGAGTCTACTAGAGTCTGATCGTGAGTCCTGCAGCCCGGTCGGGGTCACAGCAGCCTTCACTATTTTCCAGTTTGCAGTGACTCAGTGTGGTACTAGAATAACAGTGAGTAGAACATCTTCTCTCTGTAAAAATATGCATGCACAGGATCACATCGTCCTCCCCAAAGATCTTGTAAAACATTTTAACTTGTGGGCCAAGGTCAAAAAGCCAGTATAATTTTAGCAGGTTGTGTAGTGAAAACAGGTTTTTAAAATTAATTTATATTATTTACGATGTTAATAAGTAGTAACCATAGCAAAGAATACTTTTTGAAGAAAGGGTCTGATTAAAGCTACATTTCTATGATGACGGTCTGAACAGAAGACGCAAAAGTGGCACTGTGTTTTCACTTTTCATTCCGTGTTTAGACGAGTGTTTTTGGGAGGAAATTTGTGTGCATACGGTGACACAAAAATGTTTGGAGTTCGATTGGGTATGCATGCCAGGCGGCTAGGTGGTGGTGATTTACGTGACGTAAATGCGTACGTGACGTGAGCAGATCTGACCAGAGTTTTGCATCTTGGGTAAACTCAAGATTCATTTTAGAAGCTTTAAATGTCTTATATTATGCAAAATTAAGCTGTGTTATAATGTTACCTCATCAGAAGCATACCTGGAGTTGTTCAGTTTCATTCACACATGTTTGAGTAATGCTTTGTCAGTCAGTCTCCAAAGCTCAAAATGCAACATTGTGACATCATGTTGTGGTAGCTTTCAATTCAACAGCTCCTTTTACCTTTTTAGTTCATTAGTGACAGGAGGCTGAAAAGATCCAAATGATACTATTGCAGGTGTATGGAGTTAAAAAAAACAGTGGAGCAGAGTATTACAGCATGACATCACAAGATGGAACAGAGTGTTAACAGGGTATGTGTAAAATGGCCCCTTAACATTTGAGAGGACAGACAAATGGATGAGACAGATGCACGAATTTGAGTTTTCTGGGACATCAGGTTTTATCAATGAGAGGATATTTTGTCCTCTGTTGGATGACATTTTATTTGCGGCCTGTCCTTTTGGCTAATTAGAACCATTAAAATGTTTGGATGCCTGGACGGAATATAAAATCCTGATCAGAATTTTCATAGTGTCTCTGGAAAGGCAACACAAATTTTTAATTATTACATTTATATAATATTGCACTATTTTCTGATCTATGTTTTTTTTTCTTCTCATAAATCTGGAGCTGTTTGGTTTCATTCATATATGTTTGAGTTGTTCTTTCAAGCAGGGTTCCACTTTGTGATGTTCCGTGTTAACACAGAAAGCACTCCACTGTGACTAGAATCATTCGGATAATGTCAGCCCTGGAATAGCCAATCTCTAATGAACTAAAGGTAGAAGGAGCTGTTAACCTGCCAATTAGTTTCATGACGTCACAAAGTTAAACGAAGCATTTTGAGCTTTGGAGATGTAGACAGACTAATAATAAAGGGTTACTCAAACATGTGAATGAAACAAAACACAGGTGTTTTTTTTAAACAAGCTCACAAGAATCCATTTTGTGAAATAAAAAATATTTTTAATAACTCTGTGCTGGATAATCTTGCAGGAGGAAGATGGCTACATTGTTTATGAAAACCACATGTCTTCAGCGTATGAGGTGGGAATAGGACCCAGAGGATCGATCACCAGAGACAGCCATTTTGAGTGAGTTAAGTCTCATTACACACAGAGGACACTGGGTCACATTTAACTGTCTCAAAGGACATGCTTTAGACTTCAGACAGTGTCTCCTCTCTCCTGCTGCAATTCATTAAAGCTGTGCTAACCTGTTGCCCAGAAGCCAAATAAGAATGATTTATGATATTTAAACAACCCGTTAAGAATAGAAGGGGGGCAATAAAGGAAGATTGGATGGTGAGGAACTAATGGGCTATACAGGGAATATAATATAAGCTAGACTGGTTATAAGTGTAACCTAAAGCCCAACAGCATCTTTAAGCTTTGGCATGGTTTTCAGATTCACTTTAAAATGGACAGTGGTGGAAGAAGTACTGAATTTTATTTTCAGCAGATTTTGAGGTCTTTATAAGGCTTCATATCTATACATCTATATCTATATATATATCTATATATTATATATATATATCTATATATATATATATATATATATATTATATTTTTTTTTTTTTGAGACATTTTGTGCTGAATTTTATTCAACAGAAACAACTGAATTGTTTGTTTGTATATTTCTGTTTGCTCAAACAATGGACGTGTTAAAAATAAACCCTTAGGCTTTTCAGCAGGTCTCAGAAAAATATAATTTCAGTTGTTTCGTGGAATGGAATAGAAAGTACGGTCACCAGCTCTCAAATGTGATAAAGCAAAATGTATCCACTTGAAATTCCATTTACGTCAAGTACAGATACCTCAAATTTATACTTAAGTACACTACTTTTACTTAGGTTTGTTATGATTTTAAAAATAACTTAATAACTGAGAACATGAACACACTGCTAAATCTATTTCTAAAATTGGGGAGATTTTTGTTATAATACACTAAGATTTAAGCAGTAGAGTGTTGAATTAATAATTTTTATGGCCAACTATTGGTTCATTTAATTGTATCAGTGATATAAAATAGTTTCAATATTACCATTTATAGCAAAATATCATGCTTCAAAATGTGTTGTTGTGACCATCTTAACAGTATTTTGATCTTCCACTACAGATTGTTAAAGCACTGCACATGCATGTTCAGATGTGATTCAGTGCTTGATGCTATAATCCTCCCCTCTCCCTCCTCTCTGTCTGCAGGCTGCTGTTTCAGTGCCGATACTCTGGCTCTGCAGCCCAGGCTGTTGTCATGGAGGTAAATGATGTCCCTGCTCCTCTCTCTGTCGCAGCCACAGGGCCTCTCCGGGTGGAGCTCAGACTGGGGAATGGACAATGTCACACAAAAGGATGTGTTGAGGGTCAGTTAAAATCCTGTGTCTCTATCAGCTGGTGCTAACACTGAGAGTCACACCACTTTTCTGTTTTAGAGGTGGCAGCGTATACTTCCTACTACTCTGCCTCAGACTACCCCATCACCAAAGTCCTGAGGGACCCGGTCTATGTGGAGGTGCGGATCTTGGAGAGGTCTGACCCCAATGTGGTCCTGACCCTGGAGCACTGCTGGGCCACGTCTGCCCCCGGCCCTGACAGCCTGCCTCAGTGGGACCTCGTGCTGAATGGGTGAGACAGGTTTTTGATTGGAAAAATTTTGCAATTCTGCACTTAAGGGCTTTACCTAGTTTCTATGGTAGATGTATTACTTTCACCTTGCAGAGAGTTATGTACTATTTTGTGAATGGCTGAAGCCTTATAGTTTAGATGGTGAATTTTAGCCCGATTTCCAGCTGCGCTCACATAAATGAAGTTACAGCCCTGTCTTTTAGGCCATTATTTCACTAATAAAACTATGTTCACACTATGCACACACTATCAAAATATATTTTTACATACAAACATTTTACACACTTTTAGATTTTTAACATTTGAGGAATTTCTCTTTGCAACAGGTGCCCATACTCTGAAGACCACTATCTGACCAAAATGGTACCAGTAGATGCCTATTCTGGCCTTACTTATCCAACACATTACAAACGATTCATTATGAAGATGTTCACGTTTGTGGATCAAACCACCTATGCTCCATACCAGGACACGGTGAGTAACGAAAGACTGTGTATATATAAACTAACATAGCTCATGTGCTAGCTACCTTGTTCCAAATAGGAAGTGCATAGGTGTGCATAGGTCCATTCACTTTGTACTGAAAAAAAGCTTGTTGGTCAGTACTTTGTACTGACCAGTACAGTCAGTACTTAGGTAAGTACTTTGTACTGACCATCATGCTGCCAAGCTTGTCGTGTTGGTCTTAAAATGTTTGTATTCACACGATCTACATGATCCTGATCTTTATATTTTTGCCCTTTTTTTGCCCACAATTCAGTTCCTATTCCTATGTGCCCCATAACTGCTAGCCTTGGTGAGCTTCAGTTACCTAGAACTGAATGCTATGGGTAGCTCCAATCACACTCCCTTTAGTCCACTTCTTCATACAGTCTATGAACTCACATGGTGTAAAACTGACAGCTTGGTTACTGACCTTTTAAAAAGCTTTAACATTCTCCCTAATCTGCTTCAGGTGTACATCCACTGTTCTACTGCGGTGTGTTATCCCAACAGCATGGACTCCTGTCAATCACAGTGCCACCGGCAAAGTGAGTACTAACCCTTTTCTTTGGACTCATTTTGGAGGCTGGAGTTAAAATTAAATCTTGTTCCACAGGGAGAAGTGCTGCAGCAGCCAATGTTTCCTCCAACCAGAGAACACTAGTGTCAAGTGGAAAAGTGATCCTGACCTCTGACCCCAGTCAGAAAGAGACTCTCATTTCAATCTCCAAATTTAATACCTGACGATCCACTGACACATGTTTTAATAATAAAGCTTGTTATAAGCTTATGCTGTACTTGTTCTATGGATTCATACAGTGAAGGTCAAAATCGACTGACTTTAAAATGCTGAGGCAGTCAGTTGTACCAGTAATGTAACCGGTCTTGTGCAGTGCGGATCTCACAAGGTTAAATTGCCAGTCGATATCTGCATTGATGGAAGTTGAGGCCTGGTGGAGGTGGGGTTTTAATTTTGGATTGGGGTCCACATTAAAGACCTTAAGTGAAGAAGGAAGTTCTAAGAGTTCTCTGCCACTTGTTTTCAGGATTACCTCTGTCCAGACCTTATTTACAGCTCTGTGAGACATTGATCCTCTCCAGCCCCTGCACGGCTACATTGGGATGAGCGTCACGACTCCTGCAGACTCCGCACTGCCTCTCTCTCGCACTTCTTATTTTTTGATAATGGTCCCCCTCGGCTTCCTCTCTGTATGTTACAACCTGCAACAGCTCGCCTCCACGCCCCTCCTCCCTTTTTGTCCTACGCTGTTCCCCCCGCGCGCCCCTCTGCTCATTTAGATGGGCATCACGCCGCCTCCAGATTTCTTTCTGCTCTCATGAACAGGGGGTGCGCGCGGAAAGCAGAGCAGTATGGGAGCCTGCTGCTGCTGACAGACTAGCAAAGACGGGACTATGCCGACAGGATGCTCCTCGCCCCCCACGCCCCCCACCTGTAGGCATTTAGAAAGATACTGATACATATTCATACCATTGCTTCGTAGTGGAGTGAAAAAACAAAACATCTTGTCAAGAGCGAAATGGATATTGTGAGGATTTGTGTATAGCATGTTAAATGGGTTTAACCGGGGCCAATCAATTACAGAGTGAAAGGAAGTCCTTAAATGTTAAAGGGGCACACGAACAAATTAGAATGTCATGGAAAAGTCAAGTTCAGTTTAAAAAGTCCTGCAAGAATCATTTCTGTCCTCACTTCAAATTTGCATTCAGTATAAAGGATATGCAATACGGTTTCTGATTTTCCGGTGGGAAGTTGGTTGCCTTACTTATTTCCACTGAGAGATTCTTGTTTGCCTCAATGTTCCATAGTAAGGCATTAAACTAATTTGTCTGGCATTTATTCAGTTACGAGTGCTTTTAATTGCAGGTTGCCTCTCCACAAATCTGACCTACAACTTGGTCTGGCGGTGCCAACTGTAACATCTCCGTGGAAATAAGTTGTGTGACAGACCAGAAAAGTTATGCAGTTCTCCTTTTTTATTAAACACTATCGCCAATCATAATATCTTTAAAATGTATTCAATTAACACTGACTCTCATGATCACACAAAACATTATGACCACCTATATTTTATGCTGTTTTCTGTTACCAAAAGTGATTTCTATCATATGCAACAACCTCTTATACCCTCAACTTGTCTTTTTGCTTCCGTATTTTCCTACATTTAACATCCCTCCGCTCCCTCTGTCGGTTCACAATATGCCTGATTACAATGATGGCGCCATAGCAAATATAAAACTGCTTTATCATTTACCAAAAATAACTCCCCATCACAACTTCAGAGGAGTCAAAATCGTGATGCATGAAAACAGCTGAGGCCAGACGGTGTATCCTAACCTTTTGTCATCATAAAAGGGACGCTTGGCTCGAGGCTGTGATGGCTGTCGCTCCAGCAGACCCACTATCATCACCACCAGCTGCTTCAGGCTTCAAACTCAGCCAGAGATGCAAGTCAAATGAATGTAGTTAACCTTGATTGAGCGTTCCCAGAGCAAATGATAGTTTTATGTGTGACAACGACAGGCGGGAGATAAATCGGTAATTGAAAAATATTCCTATTGCTGAGACATGCAAAATTATTAAGTGTATCTGCTATAAATAGAACTAAAAAGAAAGCAAAATGAACAGGTTAAAAATAAATTAAGCAGAAATGTTTAGTGTAATCTCCCACACAAGAATACAGAGGGATGGTAATGGTCACATATTTACCCACTCACCCATGTGTTCACATTCATACAATAGTGTATAGACACCGGGAGCAAGGAGGGGTTAAGTGTCTTGTCCAAGGACACAACAGTATTCATCTGTGGGTGAATCAGTGGAGCTGACTGCTCTTCCAGTGATTATGTCAAGAGTGAGATTTGAAGCGCTAATCCTTGAGTCAGTGGTTAATTGTTGTTTAAATCTATATAATAATACAAAATCATTGACAATGCAAAATGTACTTATATTAAGTACATCTTTAAAAACTCAAATTATTCCAAGTACTGCTGGTAAATGCGTGTGTTCTCCCAGTGGTCCACATTCTCCGGGCTGGGAAACACTGGTTAGAAGGTCTATTTGATTTTATGATGCTAGGTATTTTAGTGTAAAATCTCTACTGTTCCTCATTAGTGTATGGATCGTAGCTTTTGAAATTATGTCTTGTAAAAATATCTTGCGGTTCAGGCCACAGCTCATAAGTTTTAAGTGTCTGCACAAATGAAAGAATACAGGCAGTTCCATCACATTCAAATGGCATTGGACTCATGGGTACCGAGGACTTGCAATATCAAGGGAGTAAGAACACTACACACTGTAACACTACAAGAAATGTATTAGTGTTACCCAGTTACTGCTACAGCACATAGATTCCCATGTGCACAGGAAAAAAATAATAGCAATTTGAATGTCATTTTGCACCTTAGTCTTGGTATTACATATGTGAATATACAGTATAGAAATGGAAGACAAGACTTGTTTTTGAGTTGCAGACTTGTTTTGGTGTGACAAATCATGCAGATGCAAAAAGTGTGAAGACTGGGAGAGACAAAAAATATGACTGACCAGCACAGACCCTAGCATATGTGCAGTCAGCTGGATGATTTCAGCCCTGGAATTGCCCATTTCCACTGAACACTAAATCATTAAAGGTAGGTTAAAGGTAGCTGTGAACTTGAAAACTCCCACTACATGACATCAGGTGGAACAGGGCATTTTGATCTTTGGAGATGTAGACAGAGTAACCATAAAGGATTATTCAAATATGTGAATGAAACAAAACACAACTCCGGGTATGTCTGATGTCATAACAATGTTATAACATGGCTAAAAGCTCACAAGAGTCACTTCTGTGTAACATAAATCCTTTAATAGCAGAGGTGGGGACTTACAAGTGGTGACTTGGACTCAAGTCAAATTTGAGTCACTATTTTCAGGACTTGAGACTTGACTTAATAAAATGGACTAAGACTTGAGACTCGACTTAGACTTGAAGGTCAGTGACTTGGGACTTGACTCGGACCTGAGGCCTGTGATTTGAGAAGACTTGAAAAGCACTTTTAAATCTGAATTCTTTCTATTCTGACCATAATGATTCACACTAAGATCTTGTCAAGACATTTAAAAAGGAAAAATTAACATTTCTACAACTTACATACTCTATAAATACTAGTTATAGATATAGATATACTATGATTTTTTTTAAGTACAATTTATCTTAACAGTTACAGAAATTGTAAAAATCTGAGCTATATTTGGTACTTTGGTTCAAAGACTTGAAATGATTTGAAGCTCAAAGCAGATGACTTGGACTTGACTTGGACTTTACTTGACACTTGACTTGGATTTGCCTGTATTTTACTTGGGACTTGACTCGGACTTGAGGTCAAAGACTTGAGACTTACTTGAGAATTGCAAAACAATGACTTGGTCCCACCTCTGTTTATTAAAACAATTTTATACAATTTAAAATAAATATTCTAGTCTAATTCTAAATATTTACATTATTTATACTGAATGTATTCCTTATACAGATCAATCAGTAAAAATTAGCTGTAAAAACATGCCCCACATAATAGGTCTCTTTACAGCAGCAGCAGCAGCGTCATGATGGAGGTGGTATTTCCTAATTTAAATGACCCATATCTGTCAGTCGGACCAGATCAACACTGCAAATTGAAAGTGGCAGACACTCCATGTGCATGTTTGTAGTTCCCTTATATTTAACTTCACAAATAATGATCCTGCCTTCCCCTGCACACACATACAGTATAGACACACACACACCCACCCACCCGGAGCAGCTATAAGTGTCTTGTGTTGTCTCCTTTGGGCCTGTGAAAAAGCAATCTCTGGCCATCTGGAGCCCGGCACCTGACCGAGCAGCAGGTGGGGCTCTGTGGGTTAAATGAGTTGTTAACTGTAACCTGTTTACAAGCTCCTCCCACATGAACTTATGTATGTTAGTCATCTGAGGCTGCACACCGTTGTACTGCGCCACCCACTCGTGTAACTCACTCTACGCATCACAGCGATTTTTAGAACGCTTTGGGCAAAACATACGTAACCCTTGGCTCAAACTTTTTTATGAATTTTACTAAAGGCTGTCTAATGCAAAAAAGAGATCTGTCAGTCACATCAATCAAGTTTTAAGGGTGCATTGTGTAACTTTTATCTCCTCAACTCCATGAAGATGCTATTGCTTTGTCCAGAATGCCCCACAGTATTGCAATAAACATATCTCCACGGACACAAAAAAGTAACACCAGCAAGCCAAGATACAAGATAGATAGGTTTAATGCTACTGTGGAACATTTCAGGCAAACCAATGACATCTCTGAAAAAAAAATATGAGATGACATATTCTCCACCATAAAAGTTACACAATGCACCTTTGAGTCCCAAACATGACAGAAAACATTCAATTTAAAGTGCGTGGAAGAGATTTAAAAAAAAAAAAAAAAAAATCTAAAATTTTGACTTAATATGGTGGGATTGTAGCTATTATAAATATAAATTATAGTTTTACACCAATCATGAAGTAATTTGCCCACAACGGGGAATTCTATCCAAATGTTCGGCACAATTTACACAAGAAACACATTTTTTCTGATACTTTAAACATGATTTCAAACCAAATAAAGGTGATTTCTTACATCTATATTTGTCAGTTTTGCTACGTAATGAGTGTGAAAGTTTTCTTGCAAAACTCTTAAAAATCCTAAATATAAATATCCTGAGTAGGCTACCTTGTCATAGCCACTTCTTGAGAATTAGTGGTTTGGGATTCC